TTAATGGCAAAAGTTCTTAACTAAAGTATATTTTAATAAAGCACTAAAATACTATATACTAATATACTAGTAGATTATTATTATGTTCTGTAACAAGATACAAAATAACATCAGTCCCTTGAAAAACAATAATTTAATCAATTATTTACATATCTGATTTGTAATTACCACATTATAATTCCGCTAAATAAATTAAATAAATAGACAAAGCGACAGTGACCTGACCCTTTTTCAATTAAAATTTCCAAGGATGAATAAAACATGAGCCGGATATAAAAAGTTACACTTAACCAAAGTTATTAACCAAGTTACTTTGGGCCTTTAATTAAAACTAAAAACTTTGAAATTACCGTAAGTTCCATCATTAAAAGTTTTCCAATCCGGGACAGAACTATTTTTGGAGTGTAGCCAGATGGAAATGGAAAGGCAAACAATGTTCTAATTATTTTTAAGGCAAACAAAAGGCTTTGTGATGCCTTTCTCCTGAAAAATTGAACGTGTTCGTTGTTCGTCTGATGGGGCAGTATGGGTAGTTGAATAAGCCCTAATTCAATTAAGAACCTGCAGATGACACACCTCAATCATTCAGATCCGCCTACAATCATTGGCAACGAGCAGCGACATTTTAGTGTGTGGCACTTCGGAGAACAAAGTTTTAATGCATATAAATGGCGTTTAAGGACCAGGAGCAGACTTTCTGAAAAATTAATGGCCATATCAGAGGACAGCGCTCCAGTTTCCACAACACCTGGTGAGAAGCAGCTTCAATTTCTGCTCCGGCTTATTATTCCTGATATGGGTATGGGTATGCAGTATATGTTCAGCTTAGCAATGACGTCAGCAATGGACTTGAACCGAAATCCCGCTTTGAGTGCGAACTTTGACCTATGTATGCCAAAAACCCAACTCTCCGGCCACTCAAACGCAATTTTTTAGATCGCTTGAAGGCGGTTCTGGCAACCGCCATGTCGCTTTGAATTTATTTGTCAGCTTGATGAAAGGTCATGTCAAATGTAGCTTCTTTGGCTGAGTTTCAGTATCTGTATCTGCAACTGTGCCTGTTTCTGTATCTGTAGCTGTAGCTGTAGCGTTATCTGTATCTGTCCGCCCATCAGCCTGCGGTAAATTCATCATTTTTGCGACATGTCAATTTGTCACTCACCTGACCTGACAGCCCGTGTAGTATTAGATATATGGCCAGAGCCATATACTCGTATATTTATGTATCCACACAGCGAGTACATATGTTCTCTTATCATTCAAATCACTGAAGCCATCAATCGAAGTGCCAGTGTCTGGCCAGGATTGAGATAGAGTGTGAAAGATAATTACTTTGGAGAATGGAAAATGGCTGGATAAACAAAATATTCGACAGCTGCAATTAGTTAAGGTCAAAAAGTTAATTCTAAATGGCCATTAAAACGTCGCAACAAACTAGGTTGCGTGTCGGTTTTCCAATATTTTATGAATAAATCTTTCAAGGCAAAAAGTCAAATTTTAGCGAAATATTACAGACATGGTTGATTAGCAAAATAATATCAAAATTTTAATAAAGCATAACCTTTAAAATAAAACCATAAAATCAACCGAGCCCTTAATGGCTCAAACGTGATCAAAATATTCTCAAAAGGTACTGTCATCAAATCGTTTTGGAATTTTTTTGCATTTATTTACTCTTTGGAATTGGTTCAATGCCAGAGTTTGGCTTGATAAGTGCTCGTCTTATTTGCACAACTGTGCATTAATGCATGGAACTACTCGCAGATACACATTATGGGAATAATTATTATAATTGCCGGCCAAGTGCGACACAACTTCGGCAGCATCTGGCTGCCGCATCTTAACCCAGAAATGAGGCATCAACATCTGATAAACCCACGCCGCATTGTGTCCTATTGTATTGTCTTGTATTGGCAAATGAAGTAAGTAATGCAAGTGCTTTGTTTTCATGTATCCAGTTGGCATGGCATGGCTATGGCTATACCCTAACCCATTACCATTACCATTACTGCTACCATTACCATTGTCATTGCCATTAGTCGTGGAGGGCTCTAGTGGGTCTTATCTGCATGCAGATAATAGAGCTTCTTCGCCTTGTCAAGGCCGCCGTGACTTTCTTCACCTGAATGAGCGTGGAGTGTGGAGTATCCGTCCGAACGAACCCATACCGAAATTCATTATGTGATGCCATCATCGATGGGGCACTTCAGGTGCCGCGGGGCATCCACAACAAGAGCCCACGAGCACTTGAGGCTGCCGCAATGATTTCTAACTAAATTTATTGAAGTACTTTTCACTTTTAATGCGAGCGCTTGTGTTTCTCCCCGGCTTCGCCACGCTTTGATATTTATGACTTTTACCTTCGACAAAAAATTACCAAAAAAAAGGTAAATATATGTGCGATCCCAATTTACAATGTCTACAAACATATTTTGTTAAGCCCACTAAATTGGAGCACTGGAGTGCGAGTCTGAGTTGGATAATTTTTTTTGTCATATTTTGGTTGGAGGTTTTTTTTTTTTTGCCCGTTGAATGATTGTTGATCACAGAGACCCAGAGCCCCCCAACAATACCAGTTGATTGATTGTAGTAGCAGCCGAGGCATCTGCGGCAACTGAGGCAACTGGGACAGAGGCATCGGCAGCGGTAACGGCTTTGATTGCCAATCGAAGGTGTTAGATAACATTACAAGCGCAACAGACACGCACTGCCTAATTATCGTTTATCAGACGTATCTCATATTCCGGGCCACAACTGAGTAGCCCCTTCTGCGGCCCCTCTCCCCTTGTCCATCCCTGATGAATGAAATATATGAGTTGGGACCCGGGGGCCCCTGGGAACCGTTAGCAGATGTGTGTGTCTGCCTTGGTTAATTAAAAGTTCTGCTTCATCGAGCCCGGGGCTCGAGTTCAGCCGCAGGTTGAGGGCTCAAGTTCAGGTCCAAGGCAGACACACATACCTATAAACAAACCTCCCTAATTACAGTCGAAATTTTGGTCGATAATACACCACAAAACGCAGCTATGTGGAAGAGCAGACACATCTTGGTTTAAGATTTGAGCAAATACCTGGAAACCTGAGTCCGATAGCGGAAATACATTTGTTGAAAATTGAACGATAATCAGGGAAATGCTAAGAAATGCAATATTTCTGAAACAAGTTGAGTGTATTAGCCAGAGTTGGGACATATAATTAATTTATTTGCACCACCACTGACTGACCAACCCCACCCGTTTGGGCCTGAAATCCAATCGAATCCAATCAAAAAGTTGCCAGCAAAAAGAAACAGAATGGCTTAGACTTTATGCTGCTCACGAGTCGTGTTTTTTTCGCTGTTTATTTGGTGTATGGTTCGATCCACTTCCATTCCTCCCAGACGACACAAGCCTGCTGAGGCTCCATGAAAGCGTGGTTGTCCGGGCACTGGATGTAGTCGGCCTTCTCCTGTCCCTCAGGGCAAACCCAGTAGTGGGTGGGATCGGAAATGTCGCGGAACTTGCGGGCGTGATCGTCAACAATGGCGCAGTTGGGCTCGGCGTAGATGTCCTGGCCGTTGTAGGCGCTGGCCATAGCCAGGATCAGGCCCAGGAGCAGGCAGCAGAGGAGAGTGCCTAAGCGAAAATTATTTGTTCATTGTTTGATTAAGTTTTCGGGGAAAGATGCTAGCTCACCCTTGTACATGATGGGAATGTTGCAATCAAAAACCGCCAATTGGCATTTTTATAGTGCCAATTTTTCCTTATCGCTCTCTCCATGCGACACTTGTTACCACAGCATGTTGCACATGAAAAATCACTTAGTTGAAATGAAATTCGATTTATTTTTGGAGCCGGTCGTGGTGTTTGGGCAATCATAACGAGTCAACGCTTTTCACCCGGCTGCATTAATTGGATTTGGCCCAGAGACCGAGCGTGTCGGCTTAATCGATAATTAGCCGCTGCACCGCGTCTGGGCCGCATCTTGGCCAACTTTGAAATAATCAGACAGCTTAACACTTGCTGTGTCATCTTGTCCCTTGCCTCCTCTTGGCCAAAATCGTCACCCGCTGGGAGTTGCGTCTCCCTTCAGTGATTGGCATCTGCCCCATCCAAGTCCCTCCGAGTCCAAGTCATTCCATCAACGCGGAAACAGTAATTACACTTTAAAGTATTTTGTAAGCGATTTTCAGGGCTGTTGCTTTGCTGCTAAACGGTTTTTGTATTTCTTAGTTTTCATTTATTATTTCTCCCTCTTTTTCTGAAGACTCTGCACATTTCGTGATGCTATTTATGTTGGTCAAGTGACCGGACTGAGGCTTAAATCGCCCGGAGGCACTGCCATAGCCGGCCAAACAAAGCAACAAAGAAACAAACAGTTACCATAAATGCAAAATACTTTGCAAAATGACAAAACAAAAACTGAAATAATAAACCACAACAAAGGCAAAAAGCGATGGTCTGCAATTAATTAATGAATGAGCCGATAGACTTTAATGTTGCAAACTTTAAACGGATTTAGATTTCGGCATTTGTTTTATGAATTATGGAAATATCCGATTGTGGATTCGCCAAGTCAATCAAAGATTATGGGGATTAATAGAGTGTGAGTTTTAGTGCCTCAACACCTTGTGAGTCGACTTTATGATTAAGATTATCAAGATTATGTTAATCAAAGGCCCCTCGTAAGTTCCATTAAGGGGCGTGTCTTTTATTGTCAATTAATTGATTGTTAAGAAACATTAAATTTGCAGCGTGTTCTTATCAGGATGCACTAATATTTTATGATGTTTTCATTTCCCAACTCGAGAACAAAAAGTATCTTTTTTTTTGGCAGACCTCCCTATCTATCGCGAAGTTACTTCTCTCCCCAGATAATAATCAACGGATGTGCGCGTGTGTCAAAATGTCAATACTTTTATTATTATTCTTTTTTTTCACAAGAAGTCTTCACTTTTTGTTTTGAGGGGTGACTACTCCCTTGCGAAAGTATAAAAGTGCCATTCCAGAAACTGAAGGCGCTCAGTTTGTTCCTTCTAGCGAGAAACTTTCTTACCGAGAAGAAAATGAAGTCTGGTAGGTAGGTGGGTAGGTGGGTGGGGGCCTGCTTTATTTCCAAACTTATTTTCCCATCGATTACTTATTGTTCATGTTTGGGGCTTTTGTTCTTGTCCACCAGTGGTTGCTGTGTGTGCCATTTTTGTGGCTGCCTTTTTGGTGGCAGCTGTGAGCGGCGATGCCGGTCGTTCGGCCTGCAAGGATGAGTCAGAGGTGGGTCAGACCTTTACCCATCACTTTGATGCCGCCAAGTACTGGCTCTGCGAGACCCTGGGCACCCCCGCCAAGGAGGTCGACTGCCCCTCCGGCCTGGCCTACATGCACCTTCTCAAGGAGTGCATCCCCTGGGCCAGCTATATCTGGAAGAAGCCGGAGATGCCACCAACTGTTTACTAAAAATAAATGATCCATCGCGACAAAGTTACAATTGCTATAACATGATTGTTGTGATTTCTTTTGAGGTTGTAATTGGGGCCTTAAACTAATATGGACTTTGTTGCTTCTTCGACAGCATCTCTATTTCTTTACGATTTCTTCGTATTTTCAGCCATTTGTAGATTTTATTTTCATAATTTCTCAACATTTATTTATTTTAAATATTTTCTAAACCAACAATAACGTTTCTGAATTTTTGGATTTCATTCCGATCCGAAAAGTTTACGAAACTTTATCTATTATATGGGAAATATATATAAAATTTTATGTTTCTATTATTTGTTTTTGTTACTTTTGTAGTTTTTAGTTTAATTTTATTTGTAAAACTTTATTTTTACATATTTATACAATAGTTTAAGTATTCCACTAAATTTTGATTGTATGTCGTATGCCTAATATCAATCATACGCATAGTAGGTTCTTGGATGACTTGTGACATTACTCATACGCAGTGTAGGTTCTTGAGGGTACTTGTGACATTATTCATACGCAGTGTAGGTTCATGTAGCGCCTAGTATTTTTTTAAACATTATTATTTATTTCTTTTTAGGCTTATAAATTAAAAAAAAATAATAATAATAATCTCATCATATTACTCATTCGCCCTGAAGCCAATCCAGACTAATATGATGTTTTCCCTTTGAACCTTTGTGTTTAAAGCTTTGCATTAGTAATTTACTAAAGTAAACATAAACATTTATTGTTATTTCGATAATATAAACCGGTAACACCCATTTCGCATAAATGATACTATGTGTTGCCACTGAACTTGGATCCAGATCGATGTAGATTTATGAGTGCAAAAACAAAAAAGCAAACCCATTAAAAGCTGTGCAAACTCTTTGGCTTTGTTGTGGTCTCTGGTTTGCTTTTGTGTTTTGCTATTTTTTATTGGATTTTTTTTTTTGTGTGGCAGATGCGCAGCTTTGGCAGCGACGTCGCGCATGCGTCGCAGGCACTTGTTGTTGCCGCCTCGGTGCTGCGGTTGCTGGCGGCGGAGAGTGAGTGCATTGGGTGAGAAGTTACATAAAAAAACGAAAACTCCGGCAGCGTCTTCTGCTCATTGTGTTTTTGGCTTTGGAGCTTTGGATTTTCGTCTGTCCGCAGTGTTATTGTTATTTTTTGTGTGTTTTGATTTTGTAGATTTTTGTTGGTTTTTTGTGGCTTTGCTTGGTTATGATTTTGTATAAAAGTGCATGCTGCGCATCAGGGCAAGTGTAGTTCGCATTTGTCCATCGGCAAAGCATCGTCTGTTAGAGCGCCACCCCCGATATATCACAGAAGCAACTGGTGCCCACAAGAAACGGTTAGTGTTTGGATAAAGGATAACAGTCAGCAATATTGGATATAAATATTTGAAACTAAGTGTTTTTAAAAGTTAACGTTGGTGAGGAAATTCTAAGATCATTACAGTTTTGTGGATTATGTTCTTAAGATCTTCTACAAATATAAGGAAGTTTTAAGTTCAAAGTTTTTTCAAAGGATATCCTTTTGAAATTCTATTAAAGAATTATTTTATCATAAAATTAGTGAATATGTGAACCAAACTCAGTTAGGACTATAAGTTTTATGGTCTTGTCACCGCTTCAACATTCTTACATAAACAGCGTGGCCAATTAGGATTGCCACATATTCAGCGGGTCAGAGCAGCAGTCGCTTAGGTGGGCTTTGAAAAATAATTAAAGTTTTGCAGAAACGACTAAACAAGCGGCACAAGCCAAACAATAGCACGCCGAGGCTATAAAACACCTAAACAGCCAACCAAGCCATCCAGCCAGCCAGCCAGCCAAGAAATCGCAACGGGACAAGTCAAGACGAATCCAAGTGTGGCCAAAACCAAAACGGGGAGACAGTAATTGGCAGCAGTAGCTGGAGAGGAAAATATGTGTCACTCAATGCACATGCAAACAGTAGGGCATGGATGGATGGCCAAAGGATTGGAGTGTGGGGAATGGGCTTAAGCTAATGGCTCTGTCGTGGCTGACTTCTTGGCTTTTGCCATTTTGCAATGTCATAAAATCCCTCTGACTGACTTTTGGCCCAGAGCCGATCACGCCCCCGGATTTTTTGTCCGCTTTTATTCAATTTCCCGAAAGAAAGGGAAAAGTTTCTCTAAACGATGGGATTTCCCATCGCGAGTGCGGCTTTTGTGCCCTTAGTGGCGCGGTTTCCAAAAAAAAAAAGCCCAATTAAGCGCCTCACTTTTTATAAGTACTTGTGCCTCAATGCCGGCCGATACGCTCCGGCTGCTGGCCAGTTCTTGGCATTGGCCGCCGGACCAGGCCGAGATTGACGAGCGATTAAGGCCCGTTGGTCGGTCTGCGTCGGTCTGGGTGAGGGGAAAAAACTTACGCAACGCAAACGTAATCTATCTATAACTGTGTTTAGCTTTTTTTTTGCAAGTAATCCACTTTCAACTGATTTTCTTTCATGCCCCTCTTTGCAGCTTTGTTAATTTGCATCGAGCTCATCCCCAGGAGAAGCAGTAGCTATGCGAGTGGTAAGTCATACACTGAAATTGGGTTTTTTTTTTTATTATATAATTAAAATTGAAAAAAATTATTGATTGGTAAGAGCGCCATCTTTTTTTAATATAAAGTAAAATAATCGACATTAAAAGGTTTATTTTATGATCTTTATTTTCTTTCTCTGTATAACTAGAGTAAAATGTTTCATTAACTCCACGATCACTGTGCCACAAAAAACTAATTTACCGATTTCCTCGTTTTTTTCGCTGCAGCTTTTCGGTCTTATCGCGGTGGCCTTTGTCGCCGTTTCTCTGGTCCGCGATGTCGGAGCGGCGAAGCGCGAGGCGCCCCTGAACAACGCTTACCTGCCTCCCTCCACGCCTCAGAGGCCTTCCTCCAAATATGGAGCCCCGCCTGCCAGCTCCTATCTGCCACCCGCCTCCGGTCCGGCGCCCTCTTTCAACTCCGGTCCTGCCAGCAGCTACTCCGCTCCCTCGTTGAGTGCCTCGTCGGGCGGTCCTTACCCGGCGCCTGCCCCACGACCCTCCAGCTCTTACGGACCACCGGCTTCGCGCCCATCCTCCAACTACGGACCGCCGCCAAGCCGCCCAAGGGAATCGTATGGACCGCCTCCTCCCAAGAAGCAGCCTCATCGCCGTCCTTCTAGCAGCTATGGAGCGCCACGTCCGGCACCACCCTCGCAGAGCTATGGAGCGCCTCCCTCCTCCAGTTACGGACCCCCGAAGTCTTCGCCTCCGTCGCAGAGCTATGGAGCTCCCGCCCCACCATCAAACAAATACGGACCTCCCAAGTCGGCACCTTCATCCAGCTACGGAGCTCCCAAGCCGGCGCCTCCCTCTTCTTCTTACGGCGCCCCAGCTCCCCCCTCCTCGTCTTACGGAGCTCCCTCGTTAGGATCCTCTTCTTTTGGAGCCTCGGCACCATCCTCGTCTTATGGAGCACCTGCCGCGCCTTCGAAGTCTTATGGAGCACCCGCCCCACCATCTTCGTCTTATGGAGCACCTTCTGTACCTTCCAAGTCGTATGGACCTCCTGCTGCCCCGCCATCCTCATCCTATGGAGCACCAGCCCCGCCTTCCAAATCTTATGGAGCACCGCCGGCACCTTCTTCATCCTATGGAGCACCTTCTGCTCCTTCGGCACCATCCTCATCGTACGGAGCACCTGCTGCTCCATCTAAGTCTTATGGAGCTCCTCCTGCCCAGCCATCCCAATCATATGGAGCACCTGCCGCACCATCTCAATCATACGGAGCGCCTCCTGCACCATCCAAGTCCTATGGAGCACCCGCCCCACCATCACCCTCCTATGGTGCCCCTGCTCCTCCATCCTCATCTTATGGAGCACCCCCACAGGCCCCATTAAGCAACTATCTGCCCCCTGCCCAGCGGCCATCGAAGCCCTCCTCCAGCTACGGAGTCCCCAGTGTAAGCAGTTTCGTTCCATTGCCTTCAGCCCCTTCCACCAACTACGGAGCCCCATCGAAGACCCAAAGCCTGGGCACCAGTGGCTACTCCTCTGGACCGTCTTCCTCCTATGATGCCCCCGCTGCACCACCATCATCCTCCTATGGAGCTCCTGCCGCTTCGTCGTCATCGTCCTTCCAGCCAATTTCTCCGCCATCATCCAGCTATGGCGCTCCGGCCAGTGGCGGAGCCAGCAGCTTCTCCACCGCTCCATCCTCCCTGTACGGTGCCCCAAGCAAGGGCTCTAGTGGACCATCATTCTCCTCTGCTCCTTCCAGCTCTTACTCGGCTCCAAGCCCCAGTGCTAATATCGGAGGATCCTACCCGTCGGCTCCATCTTCATCTTATGCCGCTCCAAGCTCAGGCTCGAATTCAGGAGGTCCCTACCCGGCAGCTCCTTCATCTTCGTTCTCAGCTCCTAGTGCCTCTGCTAACAGTGGAGGATCTTATCCAGCTGCTTCGTCCTCCTTCTCGGCACCATCTTCTTCCTACTCGGCCCCAGGATCGGGTTCTAATAGTGGTGGACCATACCCTGCGGCTCCTTCTTCCTCATACTCGGCACCTAGCTCTGGAGCAAATAGTGGAGGTCCTTATCCATCGTCTCCTTCGTCTTCATACTCGGCACCCAGCTCTGGCGCAAGCAGTGGAGGTCCTTACCCATCAGCTCCTTCATCGTCTTACTCGGCACCCAGCTCTGGAGCAAATAGTGGAGGTCCTTATCCATCGGCTCCTTCTTCTTCATACTCGGCACCCAGCTCTGGCGCAAATAGTGGAGGTCCTTATCCATCGGCTCCTTCGTCTTCATACTCGGCACCCAGCTCTGGTGCAAACAGTGGAGGTCATTACCCATCAGCTCCTTCATCGTCCTACTCGGCTCCCAGTCCCAGTTCGAACAGCGGAGGACCTTACCCATCAGCTCCATCATCATCCTATTCGGCACCGAGTCCTAGCTCCAACTCTGGAGGACCCTATCCCTCGGCTCCCTCATCATCTTACTCAGCACCGAGTCCCAGCTCGAACTCCGGAGGACCCTATCCATCTGCGCCATCCAACTCCTACTCGGCACCCCCGTCTCCACCATCTTCGTCGTACGGAGCACCGGCTTCGGGATCCGCCTCCTCTTCATTCAGTTCAGCTTCTTCGAGTAGCTCTGGCGGGGGTTTCTCTTCCGGCCTGAACTTCCCCAGCGGTCCCTCGTCCAGTTACAGTGCTCCCCCCGCTGGCGGATCATCCAGTTCCGGCCCATATCCGAGTGCTCCTGCCCAGGATTCCGGGTATGCGTACAATGCCCCCAGCCAGGTGCCCGAGACCATCCAGCAGGGCTACAGTGCCGACGGCGGCTATACCTACCGCAAGAAGTGAACGGAATAGGAGCCACTGCCCCGCAGTGGTATCAGCCACGTGCCTACGAGAATACTCAGCCACCCATCCATTCCATTTCCACCATCGACTCATCCATTCCGCAACTGTAAATTATTCCCCACGAGACGCCCATTCGTTTTCTCTCCCATGGAACCTCTAGACGTAATTCACTGTACCCTTAGATGTAAAAATTTCAAAAGCGTTTTGTTGAAAGAAAAATAAACAACTTGATGAAGATCATAAGCGAGCTGTGGCCACCATCAGTTCTGGGCGATCGGTTCCCTTCACATCCGCGACACATTCGAGACATTCAAGACATTGAAGACAGAATTCGTGAAATTCTTCCGCTCGGCTAATTAACCAGCGAAGAATGCCGCAAAACACCCAATGACAGTTGAAGGTTCAAATCGGCAAACAATGCAAATTTTTCGAAAATACCGGATATACCACAGCTGCCACAACAGCAGTAGCATCAGTAGCAGCCTGCTACAACATCCAACATGCAGTAGAAACATGGTCCACAATTAGAGGGCACAAGTTATGAACTCATGATGGGGGGTGCTCATTTGGCGATTTCAATCTAATTGAGATTACAACTTAATTGCATCAACTGCAAAGCAAAAGTATCTTCAAGCTAGCTTCATTAGTATGCTAATTGAGACTACTTGAGATGGCAGATTGTTGGATGAAACTAACTAAGTAACCAACTCTGACTTTGGCAATTTAACAGCTCGACTTTCGACTAAATAATATAAGTAAATGTCGCATAGTTACCACATGTGTGAATCTTCTTCAAAAGGGCATTGTTTTTGTGGAACAGCAAACACCCAACACTGAGCTCTTTGCTCTTTACCTCCGAAAGGCTTGAGAAATTTCCACCTGCGATAATACAATTCTATTGTCTGAAGATTGTCACTCGGGCGGGTTTTTGTAGGTCCGTTAGTGCTGAGAAATAGAATAAATAACTAGACAGCGGTTGCGTCAACAAAGAAACCATTTTAATATATATAGATATATATACCTTTTTATTTATTAAATACTTTTTTCGTTTCGTTTTTGTTTTGGTTTTGTCTTGCTATGCTTAAAACATTGATATGTATTCCATTTTTGTTTAATTTAATCATAATACATCATGTATATCGTAACCGTTTGTCCTATTCTGGTTTTTAGTTATTCTGAACATAATTCCACTAAAAGTTTAGTCAACAATAACATAAATATACATATACATACGTATGTAACTAATTGCCAAACTAAATTTCTCTAAAATCGGTATATTTTTGTTTCTATTTTAACCAAGCAACGACATCGCAGTTGAATGCATAAATTATTTGGTGGTTTTCGGTTTTAGTTGATAGTAGTTGTAACTTTACAAACAATTCGAGTAATTTGCTTATTTATGTACAAACCCGGTTAACTTGACAAAGAATCGAAGAACTCCTGAATGAGAGAGACAAACACACTTAATTATTCATATGGTATGGTTATAAGTTATTTCTGGAAATTTAGTTGAACAACTCCGTATAGTAAAACGTATTTTGAACTCTATCGAAAATTACACACTCAGATCTGATGCAAGGATAATAATAACAATAACAACGAACAGATATTCTGTGTACCATATGGTGAGTAATCCTAGATGGACTCCAAACCCATCCTCTATATTCATTTATGTAAACTTTAAAAAACTTTACCCCAATACAACAAACATACGAGGCTCAATCAAAAAGCAGTCAACATTTAGTTCAATCAAGAGTGAGTTTTAGTACTTTATAGTTACGCGTATTACTTTTAGTTTACTTTAGTTGAGTTGACGTTAGTATTAGATTTTAGTTTTTAATTTAGTTCTTTCCAACGGGACGAAACTTTAACAAACGAGCCGAGCGAATTACAAAAGGAAGGAACCAACGCAAATCTCTCGATAAAATGTCTCATATATCATATTTTTCGGTCGGGATCTACTAGGATCGGATTCAATTTGAGGTTTGGGGTTCAGGCAGCGTGTGTGTATATAGAATAGAGTCTTCCCTCCAATCCGATGCAGGTTTCTGGATCAATGTCGTGGGTATAACTTTCTAAATTCAGTGTCTGGCCTCTAAATATTTGATGTATATAGTATATATGATTTTCTTTTCGTGTATAGGTATATTTGTTTAGGTACTACGACGCAACATGTTACAGATATGCTTGTTCGTTTGTTTTTCGAGTATGATCTCTCCAGTATGATCTGCTATATACTTTGTGGTTTTGCTCTTTGAGAGCAGCTAAAATTCATTCCTATATAACTCGATATGCCTCGTTTCCTTCTGGATCACTTATAAACCTACTTTGTTTGAATAATGTACATATATATTTTGGGGTGATTTATATATATTGATATGTTTTTTGATATGTTTTCATTTCGTTTGCAGTTTGCAGTTTAGTTTGTGGCTTTTTCTTAGCTTTTTTCGTATTCAGCTGGAAGGACACATGATTAACACATTATATGCTTCTATAATAGTTATTTTTGCCAGGAATGCCGGTTTCGTATTGCTTACACAAATGCTAAAAAGTTTATCCTTTTGGTTAATACGTCTATACGTTTTTTATGCAATTCCCGGGCCAGGAATAAAATGCCTTTGATATGTATACAATTAAACGTGATTTCTGCACCTCACACATAATATTATCATATTCTTCTAACAGCAAAATCAACAGATCGAAAGAACGACAGCTTTAAGCTTAAGTAGAAACTATACACATTAAATTGGCTAAAATAAAACGTAAATTCTTATGATCAGCTTTCTGCACTTTTTACCTGAGCACTTGTGTGTTTAACGTACGTTTCCTAATACTTTCTGTATGTACTCTCGAAGACCCTACTCCCCCAGTTATGATATGGAAATCCCCTCTAACAAGCGCAACTAAAAATCGTGTATAATTCTGTAGGATTAATCTGCTGCATACTTTCGGGCTTATCTCGCCAGGGTGACTTGTGACCTTTACTCCGCCGCTCAGAAGGCCGTGTTATCCTGCTCGGGAGTGGGCATGGCCATGCCGGACTGGCTCATTTGGCCGCCTCCTCCGCCGGCTGGCTTCACTCCGGTGGCGGTGTCCAGCATCTTCTTCACCTGCGCCTGCGCCGTCTGCTGATTGATGCGGCGGGCCTCTGCCACGGGCAGATCGTCGTCCGATTCCAGGGCGGGATTGATGCGACCGTTTCGCTCATCCTTGCCGGCCATTGTGGCGGCGCCGTATGAACGAGCCAGAGGTCCTGCCATCACCGACAGCTGCTCCCCTGACTCGGAGGGCTCGCCCACACGCAGGGCATCTTCCGGAATGTTAACCACGCAGCGGAAGTAGTCGTAGCTGGGTGGCAGCTTACCCGACTCGAACATCATCCTGTAAATGGGAAAAATGGATATGAATGGATAAATTTTTTTATTAAAATTTCCGTGGAACTCACTTTGTCCACCAGGACACCGAGACCAGTGTTATCAAACTTAGCAACATAGCCATGGTGCGGAAGGGGAACATCTGCTCCTGTGCCTCCTCATCATAGCCGGGGTACTTGATGAAAGGTTCCAACCCCAGGATGGCTTCCCCTCCAGACAGCCGAATGAACAAGGCCACAATATATGCGGCCAGGCTGCCGTATGTGTTGCAGTGTTTCTTAAAGTGCACCACCATCAGAAGCTGCGGGAATAGGATGACGTACACCAGGTCGGAGCACATGGACCTAAGAACAAGCACAATGGACTTTTAGCCAAATGAGGTGGCTAAATAATGCAGTACACATACCACAATCCGTAGATGGAGGGAATGGTAAGAGCCATAATGGTGGCCAATATACCCACGACAATTATGGCCACGCGCATCACCCAGATGATTTCCATTTCGGACGCCTTCTGACGGAAAATCAATTTGTACACGTTCCTGGCGAACATGGAGGCAGCTGAGAGCACGGAGGAATCGGCAGAGGACATCACGGCAGCAGAAACGGCGCCCAGGCCGAAGAAGGACACAAAATCGGGTGTCAAATACTGCAGGACCATGGGCAATATCATGCTTGTCTCGTCCACAGTTAGAGGATAGGGTCCCTTGTAGTCAGTTTCATTCCAGGCTGTCAATGTTTAAAAGGACAATAGGTTACTCTCAAAGGAAAGATTGAATTCTTAATTATAAGAATTATATATATATATATTCTTAAATTTTAAAAGTAAACATTATAAAATATTAAAAAAACATGCATGCTAAGGAATAAATCTTTCAGACTCACGTGTGGCCTTGGCAATGGCTCCAATGAGAACCGGAGGAATGGCCATCAGGATGCATCCGGCAGCGGCAACGTAGGACAATAGCTGAGCCCGTCCGGCTGTTTTGCTGGACAGCACCCGCTGGAAGTAGACCTGCCAGGGAATGCCGCCAAACACTAGAAGCAATCCGTAGTCTATGTACATCCAATGCCTTTTCGGCTCCACGTGTCCAATCCAATCGACCTCCAGGTCACTCAGACTACCCACGTGCTCGTTGCTCCAGGCAAAGGGGATGCACATCCACAGCCCGATGAAGATACAAAAAAGCTGAATGACATCCGTGTAGGCCACGGAATAAAGTCCTCCGAAGAGGGTGTAAAAGATGGCGATGCATGAGGAGAGGATGACGGAAGTGCGGTGGTCCATGTCGATAATCACCGAGAGAGTAGCTCCCAGGGCGGCCAGGATACCGGCGGCCCAGAAGACTTCACCGCAGAGAGCTGGCAAAAAGAGAAGACCTCCCATTCGCTCCCCAAACGAATCCTGCAGAGGATCCAGCATAGTGATGTAGCCCTGTTTTCGCATCGGATTGGCAAAGAAGATGCCGCCTGAAGGAATTAATCGTAATAATAGACATTCTTATAAAGTCTCCCATTAAACTCACCAAAAACTAAACTCAGGGCATAGCCGAAGGGAGCCTGACACCACACCAATCCGGATGTGTAGATGGCCTCCGCCGTGCCGTTGATGTAGCCGCCACCTACCCAGGTGGCCGTCATGGTAAAAATGCCCACAAAAAGGCCAATGGAACGGCCGGCGAGCATAACCTCCTCCTCGGAATCATTGCCGGACTGCTTCTTGCGACCGGCCCAGATGCCCACCACCAGGATGAGCAGGTAGAAGAGCACAATGCTCACCACTCCGGCGATATTGATCATCTTGCTTGGGAGCGAATATCCTTGGCTTCAGAGAAATACAACCAAATGCGGCTCTTGATGTAATTAATACCCTCGGAATGGGTTTGACCTTTTAGCTGGAAATGGAAACCAGGGAGTACGGGTAAGTGGGTGGTAATGGTGGTGGTTTACTAAGAGCTACAACCTTGAGCATAATTGTTAATACAGCTGCACGAGCCCGGGCAAGAGCTCATTTTTCAATTAACTGGCCCCGGCACGCAGCATTAAATATTAAGCCAAATGCATTGGCCATGGCCATCGGTTCGCCTGACCTTTTTCTGCAAGGATACAATAGGAGTTGGCCCCCCACTCCGTTTAACGCCCCCTTATATTCCGAGTCCTTGCTAATGGCGCACTAATAACTTGCAGTTGCAACGGGTCCTTTTCAAGGCAGGACATTATTTATAGACATTCGTTGAGTGGGAATCGTGTTGACATTTATTACTTAATTAATAGTTAAAAAAAGATAAACTAAATATCATTTAATAGGAGATATGCTATTTTATGTTATTAAAAAACCTAGTTAGAAACTAGAATACCAATTAGAAAATTTCAAAATCCATTTCCAAAAAAGTTTCTTCCCAAAAGAGTTTCCAAAATTCTTCAACAATTAAGTTAATATTTTCATTTTAATATCAGAGGGGGTCATAAAAACTTACTAATTCCTAACACAGTCAAAGGACAACATACCCTAGAGGAGCACGCACTTTTCTAGCTTATATAACGGAATGGGAAAGGAAGGAACCAGGACAGACTTATGTAAAATATATAAACAATTCAGACAGTCCCTCACATCATTGGTGGGGGAGTCAAGTACGTCATAGTCATGGGTACGATTAAAAAAAAAAAAGCGGTAGAGCACCACAAGACCACAAGACGTGGTGGTCTTCATTCACAAAGTCGCTAAGGGTGCCCCGATGGGAAAGCATAGTCTGACGTCGGGCGAGGAGGTGTAGATGCCAAATGGCCGTGTGCCATCTGCGCATGTCCCACCGCATTTACGGGCAATCGAACGAAGAGACTCACCTCTCTGCTATGGAATTTGTGCGCCAAGTTCAAGCGGACGCCAAGTGGCACCTATGGAGCGTTGCGACGGCAATCGAAGACGCGCGCCAATCAAATACGTCTCGGCTTATGCAACATTTCCTGCTCTAATGGCTGGTTTGGATTCCCAGTAGTAACTTGGTTTACTCGCTCGATCGCAGATCCCTCGAGGAGGTGTAGGAAAAGTGGTAATCCGGCTTGGAACACCGATTAGTGGCAGCAGTCGCCCCAGCGAAGGGACGTCTTCTGAGACGGACTGTTTCGCGTCCTAAAGTGTAACCCGCACATGTGCCCCGTCTGTTACGGAAACGCGTGTTTGGCGCATCAAACTCTTGGCTTCGCACCCGAGAAGTTGCCGAAAAATGTTTCAGATTATGTAAATAAATCCACTCCACTGGGAAGTTGGTCGAATTTTTTCAGATATATTCCTTTAATTTCGTTTCTAAAACAAACTCAAGGTGGCCACGACCAATCGGATCGATAGCTCCTAATTAATTTTGCAATTAAACTAAAGCCTGGTCGGTTTCCATAAACAAATGGGGCAACGGGCGCCACTAAAGGTAACCACTAAAAAACGCGTATCCACGTTTTCAGCCGTCGTTCCGTGCTGACGGTTAGAGCGACAAAATTATAACTGAATTGGAAGTTCAAGTACTGGAGTCCCATCGGCGACCCGACGCCAATACCTTCGTGGAGCCGAGCGTCGCGTTCATTTTGTGTATGTGCGCAGGAATTTCTGACCGAGCCAGAGCGGGTGAATCTTACATCGTGGAAGTCGAGTGGCTACTCAATTAAGGGGTGGTTGTAGCCAGCGCAGGGGAGTTGACGGCGCTGGAAAAGTGGTGAAAAGCTTCGGATTATTGTTTGGAGTTTTCCCCTTCTAATCGAAACCAAGGACAAGTCGCGGTTTACCATTTACAAATAGTTACATTGAATCTCTTAAGCTTCTATGCCACAGACTCTATGGCTTTTAAAACTACTTAAATCTACGCCTTATTTAGTAGCCGAACTTCTCGTTCAGGTGTGTAATGCCATCGCCACTTTGGTTGGTTGGCGGCACCCACTTGGCATACTTGTCGCTATCATCATGCTCGGCTAGCTCGTCTAAGTCCATGTCCACATCCTGGCGCTGTTTATTTCGTTGCCGCTGGCGCTGTCGACGCTTCTTTTGCGCCGCATCTTCAGCACCCTGTTCCGAAACGTCCTCCTCAACTGACGTGTTGCTCTCCTTAATTGATTCTACAGGCGCAGTTACAGAAGCAATCGTGTCACTGGAAACTGTTGTCACATCCGGTGTAACTTTTTCTGGTTTTAAGACTTCCGTTTTGGGGATTGTTGGTTGGCTCACTTCCGATTTAGCATTGGGTTCTTGTTCCTCCAAGTTCTTACTCTCCGTTGTTGAAAGCTCCTCCAGTTTTTCTTCTGTCGTCTGTGCCACCACAATTTCCTCTGGTTTTCTTGGCTCCTCCGCTTCATTGCGCTTCTCTTCGTCCTCCTCCTCGACTTCCTCTTCGTCCGAGGCAAATGCATTTGATTGTGGCTTAGGCTGGGTACTAGCCGCAGCTCTTACCACCTTAAATTTACTGAACTGATTCCTCTTGCCAATCATGGGCAGCTGTTTCTTCACTCCCGTGCTTGAGGATTCTCCTATAAGTGTTTCGTTAGAGGTGACAAAAGGTAGAGCCGTCGGTTTCGCTATTTTGAGCAAGCGTTGCACCTTCTGTTGCTCGCCCTTAAGTCGTTGCTGCTCCAACTGCAAACAAAGGAATAATGTTAAGGTACTGTTTAACACATTTACCTTTAATACCTACCCTAAGCTTTTTGATCTCGGTTTTGTCCACCTGTTGCACATCTTCTGCAAGCGTGTCCATAAAGTTGTCCAGGTCGTCACCAGCGGATTGCTGTTTGAGGGCTTGCTCCTTGAGTTTCTTTTCCTTTTGTTGGTAAATGTTTATTTCGTTGTCAACCTTTTTCATTTCCTCATTGAGATCCTGCTCTTGCTTAAGCTAATAATAAAAAATTGTAGTTTTTATGATTTTTTTTAAATATATATCTTGAATAAGTACCAAATCCTCGTAGGTCAAGGTGACATTGACACCAGCATTTTCCTTTCGTTGTTTTTTGCGCGCCACATCGCCCGTACGATCCCAGAACTCATCGTCGTCGTCCGAGTCACCCGACTTTTGAATTTTCCTCTTCTGGGACTCCTGATTCGCCTGACGGAGAACTCCATGCCTATCCAGAGTGCGACAGGCCTCCAGGGCGCACTGTACAACACAGTCCTTTTTGCGGCCTTTGTGATTCACCTCCACTATTATTGGCCGGCCATTAGAATCATCTAGCGGCAGCTCCACACGACAAACAAAGGAGCCTGTCGACAGCTCGTCACATTTATACTCCAGGTTGAGACCCTCACGTTCAAAGAATCCTCTCAGAGTCTTCTTGGGGTCGTCGAAAAAGAGATCCTCGTTGTTGGTGGAAGCGTATGGATTATGTGTGAGGTCAGTTTCCTCGTCGGCATCGTCACCCATGCCCCAGCTAACGCCCTCGTTGCGCTCACGCTCTTCCGCTTCCAAAATCTTCCTCTGCTTCTCCGCTGCTGCGGCAGCTATCTCCTGCTCTCGCTTCTCTTTTAACTCTGTCACCGTTAATTCAGATTCGGGTTCCTCGTCCTCTCCGGGACCCTGCAAGATGTAGACACGGGTGCTGCCGCCCAACTTCAGCATGTGACCCACCCGCATTCTTATGAAAACTTTTGGCGGCAGCCGCTGCTTATTCAGGAAAGTGCCATGAGTGCTTCCTAGGTCGTAGACATACCAGCCCTCTGGCTGTTCATTTTTAGGGGCGTTATCATCTTCGTCTTCTTCTGTTTCATCTGGTTTAACAGGTGCCTTTGGCTTATACTGCAGTACAGCGTGGAAGCGGGAGATTGTGGGATGGGCGGCGGCCACGTCGTTCTCCGGCAGACGGCCGAAGGTCCAGACCGCTTGTTGTTGTAGCTGTTTTACTTGATCTATGATTTGACCCGACTTAAGGACTTCGAAGCTGTAATTCTGTTCTGGAGCCGGTGGAGCTGACCATTTTGGCACCTTGTACGGACAGGCCGGGTTAGGAGACGGATTTGGTGTTTTTGGTGCTGGCGGGGGAGGTGGTTCAGCTGGCGCTTCTGTGCGAGGCTTCTCTGTGACCACTGTTTTAGGTTTGGGCAGTGGAGCGGGCACTTTGAACTCATCCATGCTTGCAATATAGCGAAATATGTGTTATTGCAAGCGGGTAAACAAATTTCGCGATGCCAACAGCTGATTTGCAAAACAGTGTTACCACACATTATTTTTAGGAAAAATGAAAGTAAAATGTATCGAAAAATTCGAATACAAATTATTTTAATTACTGTTTTTATTCAAACATATATAAATATTTATTTTTTTCTAATTTTTACTATAAAAGTATATAAACATAATCCTATTCCAACGCACATAAAAAACACATAAAAATCTTTAAAAAAAAATCGAACGAAAAATGGAAACCATAACCCTTAATATCGCGATTTAGCTCAGTCTCTATTTCCGTTCCCATCCCTAATTCTTTTTGCGAAAGACGCCGGGAGTTGCCAGAGGCTTGAGGAGGCGCGTCTTTTTTAATTGGTGTTTTTAATTTTTCTAATTTTTTAAAATTTTTGTTTTGTCAATGGTTTTATAAGATGGAATTTTCACAATCATTAAATTTCGGGAATAGTACCTTGCTTCAACTTGAAAGAGGAATTGAAGACGCTGGTAAGGATAACTTGTGCGCCGCAAATGAAAAAGATGTTAGGGATACTTCCGGAAACATCGAATCCAACTACTCTGACTTCTTCAAGAGCGACTTTTCAATAGTCGTGCAACATTCAGACGATCCTCGCAAGTCTGAACAACATATAAATGTCTCTCACATTGAGGCCATTTTATGCATCACGCACAATGAATGCGGTAGACCTATTTCGCCATCAATCATAAGGTCCCGTCTCTATTCCGAGGGCAAATTTGGAAAAGAGAATGAGAAGGAAATCTTTGCTGAGCCGGAGCCAAATAATCGTGCAGGATTTGCACACGTGGAGGATCCGCAAGCATCCGAGCATGTGTTTCAATTGGAGGATGAGGGAAAGGTGCCAGAGCAGGAGCCGAAAAATAGTGCAGGATTTGCACACGTGGAGGATCAACAAGCCCTCGAGCATGAGAAGGTACATCAAGAACATCCTGTTAATGTTCTCAATGCTCAGGTTCAGCAAGCCACGGAGAACATGCATGGAGACGACGATGTCGAAATGGTACCAGAGCCGGAGACGAAAAATAATGCAGGATTTGCGAACGTGCAGGATCAGCAAGACTCCGAGGACATGTTTGGAGACGAAGAGGAAAGGGAGGACCTTCCAGAGCCGGAGCAAACATTGGACGAAAGTAGTTTTTTGGCTCCAGTTCAAGATCACCAAGCCTCGGAGCAGCTCAAGGCGGATATACTACGCAGTTGCATGGTGGCCAAGCAGGGCGAATGGCATGAGGTATCGAAGATGACCCAGAATCTGAGCAGCATGTCGCCCAGCCAACTAAGACTATCTCCTGATTCCTTCAGTCAAGTGAACTACGCTTCAAGAAGAAAGTCTGTGGCTTCAGAAGTCCCTGTAGATTTACAGTCCATGAAATCAATTTCTGCGTGGAACCTGCCGCCTTCAATTTCGTCGGTGTACAAGGAAAAAGGCGTCATCCAGATGTTTGACTGGCAGGTGGAGTGCCTGAGCAAGAAGAGCGTGCTCTTCGAAAATTGTAACCTGGTCTACTCCGCACCCACATCAGCAGGAAAGACACTAGTTAGTGAGATTCTACTCATAAAAACTGTCTTAGAGCGGCGCAAGAAGGTTCTTCTGATTCTGCCTTTCATCTCTGTGGTGCGGGAAAAGATGTTCTACTTGCAGGATCTCCTAACTATGGCTGGTTACCGAGTAGAAGGTTTCTTTGGTGGCTACAACCCCCCAGGTGGCTTCGAAAATATTGATGTGGCCATCTGTACGATCGAAAAGGCGAACTCGATTGTAAATAAACTCCTCGAGCAGGACAAACTCGACTCAATCGGCACAGTGGTTGTGGACGAGGTCCACTTGATCTCGGATAAGGGACGTGGCTACATCCTCGAACTTTTACTCGCGAAAATATTGTACATGTCCCGGCGCAAGGGCCTCCAAATCCAGGTGATTACCATGTCGGCCACCCTGGCGAATGTGGAGCTTCTTCAGCGCTGGTTGGATGCGGAGCTTTACATCACCGACTACCGTCCAGTTGCCTTAAATGAGATGATTAAAGTGGGGACAAAAATATTCGACAACCAACTAAAGTTTGTGCGCGACGTTTCCCAGCAGTTGGAGTTTCAACAGGCTTTGGGAAACGACCCTGACCATGTGGCACAATTATGTATAGAGACGGTGCTTGAAGGCTGCTCGGTAATTGTATTTTGTCCCTCCAAGGACTGGTGCGAGAACCTTGCCGTACAACTAGCCACTGCCATGCATACCCTGATCAAATCAGGTTCGGATCTGGGCCGTCAACTGAGGTCTAACCTCAGTCCAGGAGACCTCGAAAATGTGAAGCAGCAACTGAGAGATATTCCCACAGGTTAGTCGCTTCTACATATTTTAGCCTTCTCTATTTATCCTTTTATTTACTTAGGCCTCGATTCCATTATGTCCAAGGCTGTAACTTGTGCCTGCGCCTTCCATCATGCTGGACTGACTACCGAGGAGCGTGACATCGTAGAGACCGCCTTTAAATCAGGGGCTCTTAAAGTCCTAGTCGCCACTAGTACCCTCAGTTCTGGGGTCAACTTGCCTGCTCGTAGAGTGCTAATCCGTTCGCCGTTGTTTGGTGGGAAACAAATGAGTTCCCTTACCTATCGCCAGATGATTGGACGAGCCGGGCGTACAGGCAAGGATACCCTGGGCGAGTCCATACTCATTTGCACCGAAAGCAATGCGCGGATAGGGCGCGAGTTGGTCACTGCGCAGCTGCAACCGATCTCATCCTGCTTGGAAATGGATGGAAGTGTAAGTATTATTATTATCTTTAATATGTTTAAAATTTATTTTTAAACTCTGCTTTAACAGACGCATCTTAAACGAGCCCTGTTAGAGGTTATTTCATCAGGAGTGGCTACCACCAGGCAGGACTTGGACATATTCGTCAATTGCACTTTATTAAGTGCCCAAAAAGCCATCAAAAGTGCTGAAAATCCAAAAGCAGATGAGGAGCAGGATTCAAACTACATAAACGATGCACTGGAATTCCTCATGGAATACGAGTTTATTCGTTTGCAGACCGACGAGGAGGCTGAGACTTCTGCATATGTAGCAACGCGCTTGGGAGCTGCCTGCTTAGCTTCTTCCATGCCACCGACCGATGGTCTTCTTCTGTTTGCAGAGTTACAGAAATCTCGACGCTGCTTTGTGCTAGAATCCGAGCTGCATGCTGTATATTTGGTCACCCCCTATACCGTGTGCCACCAGCTCCAGGAGCTGGATTGGCTTATATACCTGGACATGTGGGAGAAGCTGAACCCGGCCATGAAGAAAGTGGGTGAGCTTGTAGGCGTAAAAGAATCATTTCTTGTTAAGGCGATGCGAGGTCAAACCAATCTGGACTACAAGCAAATGCAAATCCATAAGAGGTGAGTGTTTATTTTATATTTTTGGTATTATAATAATCATATACTTATATACTCAATAATCCCTAGGTTCTATACCGCCCTGGCTCTTCAAGAGTTGGTCAACGAAACACCAATTAATGTTGTCGTACATAAATTCAAGTGCCATCGTGGGATGCTCCAGACACTCCAGCAAATGGCATCCACATTTGCTGGAATCGTTTCTGCATTCTGTACGTCTCTGCAGTGGTCCACGCTTGCCTTGATTGTGTCCGAGTTCAAGGATCGACTTTACTTCGGCATCCACAGCGATTTGATAGATTTGATGCGCTTGCCCGATTTGTCACAAAAACGTGCCCGAGCTCTCTACGATGCCGGCTTTAAGAACTTGGTGCAGCTGGCTGGCGCGGATGTTCTACAGCTGGAGAAGGTTCTATTTAATTCATTGAGTTTTGATTCCGCCAAGCAACATGACCACGAAAACGCGCAGGATGCGGCCAAACGCAATATGGTGAGGAATTTCTTCATCACTGGAAAAGCGGGCATGACAGTGGCCGAAGCTTCCAAGTTGCTCATCAGTGAAGCGCGCCAATTTGTCCAGTATGAGTTTGGAGCCGGAAGCATCAAGTGGTCACAAGAGCAAACAGCGGAAGTAGCTCCTGAGTTAGAGGACAGCGTTACTGAGGTAAACAATCGTAAGTCCCAAGAGGATAACCAAACTATGCAAACCAAATCCCCAACAAAGGCAAAAATTATTGAAAAGCCTGAAAATATTATGGATGTTCCTATGCATGAGGTGAAGAACAATCCGCGATCGCTACTTAAACGAAAACTTCCCATTGAAGATAGCAACGTAGGTTTTATTTCGTCTCCTTGCAAACAACCAAAAGTAGCTCCATCCAATGAACTACTGTTGCAACCTTTCAATAACGAACTGAACTCTAACATCGCTGGTCTTGGACAAATGTTGGACCAGCCTTCGACAAGCGCAGTTCTTCCACAGGTTTCTAACACTGCTGGTCTTGGACAAATATTGGACCAGCCATCGACAAGCGCAGCTATTCCACAGGTCTCTAACATCGCTAGTCAAGGACAAATATTGGACCAGCCTTCGACAAGCGCAGTTCTTCCACAGGTTTCTAACACCGCTGGTCTTGGACAAATATTGGACCAGCCTTCGACAAGCGCAGCTATTCTACAGGTCCCACCTGAAAAAGTTCAAATATTAAATTGCCTGGAAATATCACCGAACAGTGCTTTAACTGAACTTCTATATGATTTTCCAGTTGATGATAATGTAAACGGTACGAATATCCTACAGCTACAAACCACAGACTTACAAACACCACAGACTTCTATGGTTACCAATTCATCTGGTAATACCATGGAACAAGAGAACTTGGTGTCTGAAAACCCCTCCCAGTTTACAAAACCTCAGTCTGAGTCTTCAAATACAACAGAAACCAAACCAGCTGAGTGTAGTGAGGCTCCATCTGCCAATGTGGTTATTCAGGACATGCCAGTTGAAAGCCCTGCAGAGATTTTAAAAAAGCAAGTTGAGCAACGCAAAAGAATCGCACAAATGAAGATGAACAAGAAACTGGAAGAAATGAAAAGTCAGCAGCAACCTGCTGTCGCTAGTACAGTGACTTTAATGAACACCCATCCGAAGCAAGGATTAGATAAACCCATTCCCCAGAAGGTTCCGCAAATTGTACAATCCAACGCCCAAGTCGATACTGGCAATGTTCCTTTGAAGTCTCCTCCATCATCTTCTAGTGGAAGTTCCGAAAGTACCAGTACATCATCTGAAACGTCGAATGGTCCGAATAGAGTTTCCAACGCCCAAGTCGATACTGGCAATGTTCCTTTGAAGTCTCATCCATCATCTTCTAGTGGAAGTTCGGAAAGTACCAGTACATCATCTGAAACGTCGGATGGTCCGAATAGAGTTTCTGTGATTGAAAAGGATCTCTTTGAGGGTGATGATTCCTTTATGATGACCTCTAGCATAAACGCAGCTCTAACGGCAGCAGAAAGGAAGCCTCAAGCAGGAGGGCATTCGGATACTGAGGAGATTCCCAACTCTCAGCCGAAAGAACCAGAAACTGTCGCTCCATTGACTCCCCACGCTTCAAGGCTTATTAGGTCAAACACACTGCGATCACAGCGCCTTCAAAGTCCCAGATCTGTAACATCACGTTCATCGGAAAGTTCCGAGGGATCTAAAACATCAAGTTCATCGGGAAGTTCCGAGGGCTCTCAAAGTTCCAGATCTAGAACATCAAGTACATCGACAAGTTCCGAGGACGCAGTGGGAGCGGAACGTAATTCCACAAATTCCGGAGTAGAACTCTCCAATGTTAGTGTGGAAAATTCTCTGTTCAAGAATCCCATGGAGTTGAATACCTCCTATGTTTTATCATGCCCCACAAGCCACAACGATTCCACGAGTTTAACTTCAATTTTTGTATCAGATGTGTGCGAAAGTCTTCAGATGTTTGAAATTGCGTTGAAGAAACTTTCGGAGGCTACTGTTTGTGGACTGAGCGTGGGAATAACGGATCATGAGGGAACTCCAAAACCACTTATTGGTGGAAAGTTGATGAACCAAATAGGTGAAGTTGGAGTGGCAACCCCCAAATTTGTTTTCCAAGTAAACGACACCACATACCTTGAATGCTTATCCTTTTGCTTGGATGGCCAGGATGGCCATTATGTAATCCATTTCAAAATGCAGGAAACCGAAGGCGGGGTGCCTTCAAGCTTAAAACTGCGGGAGGTTTGTAAGATTTTTGCCCGTGACGATCTTACTCTGATAATGCACAAGACAAAGAATCAGTTGAAGGCGCTACTCAAGGCGATTCCTGAATTAAAGAATATCGCTGTCAAGTTTGAGGATCCGGACGTGGCCAATTGGTTGCTGCAACCGGACAAAGACTCCAATTTTCGAAATATGGTAATAATCCAAAAAAAAACTCCTATAACTTCATTTATTTATATGCTACCATTTCAGTGCCAGCAATATGCTCCGGAGTGCTTAAAACTGCTCGATCTCTGTGGCAGCGGCCGTTTCTTCAGCAGCTACGGTCTCAACACCTCCAGTGAAGTACCAGTCCATGTCAGAACTCAAGTCGAAGCCTATGTCTCGGTTCACGTACGCAAAGGACAAACAAAGATCCTAGAAGACCATCAACTCATGAAAGTATTCAGAGGTATTTTTTCTGAAGTCACTTTCCTTTTCTTAAAAATTAAGTAACAATATTTTTTAGATAATGAAATGCCATTACACCTGATACTGGCCCGGATGGAAGTTGTGGGATTTCCGGTTAAGGAGCATCGCCTCAAGCACCTATATCGTCAAATTATGAATGCTTCATCAGATATTTATAATAAGATCATGCATATAAATGGCTCTAATTTCAATATTAACTCATCCGTCGAAGTTGCCAGGGTCCTAGGCATACACCGAAAACCAACAGGACGCGTGAGCACATCCCGTCAAGTCTTAGAAAGAATAGAAGCACCTATTGCAAAATATATATCTCAACACCGAAAGCTGACTATGCTGGTGCTTAAAAATGTGCAGCCGATGATGAAATCCATGCAAAATAACAGGATTCATGGACACAGCATTACGAACACGGCAACGGGACGGATTTCGATGGCAGAACCCAACCTACAAAACGTTGCCAAAGACTTTGTAGTGGATGTAAAGAAACAGCAAATGCTTTTATCGTGCCGATCCGCATTCATGCCTACGGATTCTACACGTTGCCTGATATCTGCGGACTTTTGTCAGCTGGAGATGCGAATTTTGGCGCACATGTCGCAAGACAAGGCCCTTCTAGCGGCAATTAATTCACCAAGTGATATCTTTGTCTCGATATCTGCGCACTGGCATAAAATGGACGAGTCTGAGGTGTCTGACCAACTACGTGAAGGAACAAAAAAAATTTGCTATGGCATAATTTACGGTATGAGTAAGAAAACGCTAGCGAATGAACTGGATGTTACGGATCAAGAGGCCAACGGTCTTGTGGAGCAGTTTTTCAATTATTACCCAGACATTAGGACATACACTGAGAAACTGCTAATATACGCTCGCAGAAAGGGCTATGTGGAGACTATCACTGGACGACGTCGTTATCTAGAGAACATTTGCAGTGAAGACAAAGTATTACGACGTATGTATTTTCTCCTTTTTATATACGTATATAAACTAAACCATTTCCTTTCAGAAAAAGCCGAACGCCAGGCAGTCAACTCCGCCATTCAGGGCTCTGCTGCGGACATAGTAAAATCGGCCATAATAAAAACTGTCAAGCATTTGGGCCGCCATTGCCGGAAACTTCATATTGATGACGATTCAATTAATTTTGTTCTCCACATTCACGACGAGTTGATGTATGAAGTGCCTGCCGACAAAGCAAAAAAAATTGCCAAATTAATCAAAGTAGTGATTGAAAGTGGCACCCGCCTGTCGGTTCCACTTAAGGTGAAGCTAAAGATGGGAAGCTGTTGGGGAAACCTTACAGAAATCCAGGTCTAATAAGTCTGATAAGTCTTTTTTGAGTGATCCAGCTGGACTGACACTTGAAGATGTACCATGTTATTTAGTACATATACAGATATAAGACATAAAAAAAGAGTAAAACCAAAGATTGGACGCAGAGATCGTGGAGCAGAATTTTTAACCATCAATTTTCATTTATTTCTATAAAATTGTTTAAATAGATGTAGTTTTTCAGACGTTATCTTTTATTGACCAAATTTTTAAAATGGCTCTAAGAATTTTTGAAAGACTGAACATTAAACATTTTGAGACTGTTTTTCCTGCCACTCCGTCCATGACCCAGAGTAAGCTTTAGCGCTGTGAAATATAATAAAAATTATTGGCTAAAGGTTAAATGGAGTTTTTTTTAATCCTACTTCACAAAGCCCAGTGTTCTAGCCGAATTTGCAGCTCTTGCGGCACGCCCTCCAGCCTTGCACGAGAAGATCACGACAGCTTCTTTGGCAGGCTTGTCACGTCCGTAAGCCTTGGTGAATTCTTCCTCCGGCAAATTCAAGGCTTTCTCCAGGGCGGCCACTAAAATAAGTAGGTTCGTTTATAAATCAAATAGTCTTTGGACCCATATGAATCCTCACATGGAATGTTAATACTGGCGGGTAGGACACCCGTCTCCTCCAGCTCTGATGGACTGCGAACGTCCACAAGGTATTTGTCCGGATGGTTCGGAATATCCTTAACTTCCTCGTAGGTGGCCATTATTGGGAGTTTTGTAAAATTTTATTAAATGCAATCCAAAGGCGGTAAAGCGGCTTATCTTGTCAAATTAAAGCTCTGGCGATAAACTTGACTATCGATAGTTTAAGTTTTGGGACTATCGGTATGAATAATGGTGAATAAAATATACCCTACTTTATCGATAAATTTTAAACCATTTTGAATTGAAAAAATTGGTTTTTAAACTTATGCTGATTACCCACCCACCATTTCATTGTTAAAAAACCACCACATCCAAAATTGTTCATTTTATTGGTTTTATACAATTATAAATCAGTTTCAATTTCACATTTAATAATATTCAAGAATTCACTAAATTATTAAAAAATAGTCGAAGCACAGGCAATAGTTTTCACTAAAAAAAATCAAATTTCAATTGCACGTTATTTCTTTGGCTCCATTCGGCATTTTGAGGAGCTCTACCAACAATTAAATAGCTTTGCAAAATAAATACAGAAAATACAATTTGCCATCGCCCACATAGCACAGCATTCAACTCTTCAATTCTTCACATTAATATACTACTACTGTGTATCAAAATAGTGGTTCGGTTGAAAAATGTTGACCTCACAGGCTGCACATCGACTTTAAACCTAAATATTGTATACAGTTTTTAACTTCATGCTTTTTCATTGGCATTGAACAATCAATTCACTTTCATTACACTTTCCTTAAGTCAACAACGACATTATTATTGGGGGGCCAAACGCACACAATACGCTTGTCTTAATCCACTAGGCTAACTCCTCCGGCACTCGCTTGTTCTAGATTTACAATCAATTATCAAAATATATACTAGAGATTGTGTAAATTCTACGAATTTATGATTGATATCTTATGGTGCGTGTGTGTGTTTTAATACCCAGCTTAGCGCGGTCACAACGAGTATAGTACATATAAAAAGGCAGGAGCCATTTTTGTGTTAGAATTATAAAACAAATCGAACAGAGTGCATCCTGGGAGTTAATCTCCGTTAAATTTGTGGGTACGTGTTGTGGTGTGTTCATCAGTTGTGTTATTTTGTAGGTCTTCTTGGTGGGGTTGGTGTATTTGTGGTTGTGGCTGTGTGATCGAGCGAATAAAATATATATAACAGGGAACTAATCGTAGCGTTTCGACGGTGGTACTAAGTGCTCTGGCAGCACAGTGGGCAGCTCGCAGCCCTCCAGCTTGACGTTGATTAAGTGCAAGGCCAGGGCGAATTCGTCAGAGTCGAGGAAGCCATCACCATCGACGTCCGACAGCTTCCAGATCTTGCTGAGCACCGAGTTGGGCAGTTTCGATTTGATGAGCTCTTGTTTGGCAGCTGAAAGTGGTTTGTGCATTAGTCCAGATTCATGGCAATTCTATTAATCTTAAATGACTTACTAGAACCGGAAATTTTTCCATCGACGGGACCCAGCCCGTTGAAGATTCCGTCTGTGCGAGCCTTGTCCTTGTTGCAGATCCAGTCGTGCTCACCGCAGCCAGCATCGATTCCCTCGCCCTTCATGTAGCCGAATGGTGAGACATGGTCGTCGATGACTCCCTCGAAGGCACCACCTGCACGGAGGAAAAGTAAACAAGAGGTCAGCTCATTTTCGCCATAAATTTGCATTAATTAAGCATGTAATCTAAGTTGATCGGTGCGTCGCCGTGCACAAACATTCAATTTGAGGCAATTAAAACCTTCAGATCGTTTAGGTTCCAATTGACGTCGCCGTCGCCTGCGTCGTCGTAGCCGCCGGTATCGTGACTAGTCCGGCTGACCGACTTAAGCACGTACTCTGTTTGGCCGGCTACTTTAACGGGCAGGGCAATTGTGCCCGGTGCAATTGAAATGGATATATACATATGTGGCTGCGCAGGTTGCCAAGTGCGTTCTCATTTCGCCTTTCTGAAGTTGCCACTTTGAACTGTGGCTCAATTCGTTTGCGGCCTCTTGCTGTCGCATGGGGAAATTGAAAAGGCCAGTCCCGGCTGGATCTGTAGTGCCTAGTATAGGGTTTCGGCTTGAGATCAGTATTTTATTATGGTGGGGGTTTTAAACAGATAACCCTTCCCATATTTTATACTTTTTTTGAGTGTAATGGGGTGTGCTTTCAATTGATTTTTTTAAAGTTTTATTTACTAGGTGTGATGTGGATATTTATTAAGAAATAAACATATATATTAAAAAATAAATAGTTTATTTGCTTGACCATGAGAGTATTATTTCATAACTTTAGAAACTTGTTATAAAATAAGAGATGTGGTCTATGGAATGGCCATAAAATAAACATCAGCTGACAAAACAAAAAAAACTAAATATCAATAAATTTTCAAATTAAAAATGATTTATGTCTAAAATTTAACACTTGTACTAAAATTTAAACGGGCTACGTTATTCTTACGTCAAGCTCTGTCCCTGTACCCGCTTCAGGCTCAGGCTCAGGCTCAGTCTCAGTCTCAGGTTCTGCTTCGGCTACCTTCTCTGGCTCTGAGTCAGATTTGGAGTCCTGCTCTAGCTCCGCCTCGATTTCTGGCACCGGTTCGGCCTTCTTGTCGTTTTCGACGACATTGCCCACCCGACTAGTGCAACTGCTGAACAGGCGGAGCTGCTGCTGGCGCAGATTCTGCAGCCAGCGATCGAAGCGCTCCGCGAACTGCTCCCGCTGGGAACTGGGGGTCAGGAGGTCAGGCTCCGAGGACACATCGAACTCCTCGTCAGAATCCACTTTTTGGTATGCAAGAAAGAGAGAAAGAGAGGTTGACAGAGCAGAAGATCGCACACAGTAGAGCTTCGGTACAGAGTGCGGGCGAGTGCGGAACGGACTTGGACGTGGACGTGGACTTGGACATTGGAAGCTCAAACTGAAAACGAATTAGTGCCAAGTGGAGAACCGAAAGAGCATCAAACAACTTATTTCTGCAAGATCGTGTTAGATGAGTGTATGGCGGACTATTTAGCGACACATTGCTAAACATGTGATGTTCTGGCTCACAGTTCAGGTGTGCCGATTATGATAGAGAAGTGAGTCATAACAGAAGAATATATATAACTAAGGAGAGATCACTGTACAGAGCAGAGGGTCATTCAGCTTCCTATCGCTGCCTTGCTCTGCTCACTGTTTACTTGAAATACCAAAGTCAATTATCCAAAGAACAAAAAAACGGAAATGCACTGAAATCAAATAAAACTGTGCAGCCAGCGATAGCAACGAAAATAAAATCAGAGAAACACATGTGTGTATGTACATAGTGATATATATACATATAGTATATATACACCCTCGAAGACAAAATGCACCAAATTAGAGCCCCGAGTTCTTGACTTTGATTTCGAGCTGTTTGATCGCGATTCGCTTAATCAAGACATTCCTCCACCGCCTCGCTTTCGCGCCCGCCCCGGACTCGAACCAGTGGTGTAATAATAAAACGCAAACACTGCCGCAGTTCATTCACTTGTATTTTAGTGGCTATCGAATTTTCCTCTCACAGCGGTTCCTCTTTGGAACGGCCGATGACACACTGGGCCTGGGTGGAATAATGTCGCATGACATCAGTCGATCGGCTTTTGGGGACTTTGCTTAGATTTCAGCAGAAAAGAGATACGACCGCGTGTATCTTTCAGATACTTTCATCGCCTTATGCCTCAAGGTCATGTGAAATGCGCTAATATTTAAATTAAAACGCCACTCAAGTGGCCCAGTCCATCGGGGCGCAACTGAAAAGATCAGCCAAGGCAGGCCGAACAATGGAGAAGAATGGCTACCGAACGTATATATCATCATAAATGCTTTCTTCCTGCACTTAGCGCATCTCAAATCTGAATTTCTCAAGCTCTCGCGCGGATTAGGCGGAGGATGAGCCACTTAGTGCCACACGTCCCAAGTCACACAGTACGGGAGGCCAATTGATACGCGGCCTCAGGTTGCCAGCCAACGCCATCAAAAGTATCTGGAATCTGACGGTAACCGGTTCGTTCGCCAGAAGATGGGTTGGGTTCGGGCAAGGGATCAGAGTCAGAGGTCTCTGGTCTGTGTTTGAGCAGCTTGTAGCTAAATAAATGCACTGGAATACCTTCTCTGAACATAGCTTTGACTCGCTCTTAAAAGGCAACAAAAATATTGAAATGCAAAGTATTATTATTTGCTTTTCCTATTTTCAATTGCTTAGCCTATTAAGAGATAATTATTTTCGTTCTCCTTGTCTGGCAGTCTGTATATGGAATTAATCCTATTATATATATTATATACTTTTCGGGATTAGTTTTGTTGGCTTCCATTATGGACGATAAAGTCTATACAGGGACAGAGTACACCTATAGCTTTGCTGAAATTAATGATGGGTAATAATCCCACCCAAAACTATGTGTTTAATCATGCTTAGGAGAGTGTTTTTTCTGTTTGTTCAACGATTAAAATTTAGAATTCAAAAGGTTGAATCTTCCACCAGTAACAAGTAGCCACATATGTCTAGTTATTACTTAATTATAGTGTTTACTTTTAAGATAAGCCAAATATGAATACATTTTCTGGCAAATTAGAGCAATGCTAATCATTGAAGACCAGACGGGGCCAGGGACTTTAAAGCTAGCTAGAGTTTAGTGAATAAGCTACATAGAGCGAACTCTTAGAATGATAAGACACTCTCCGAGTGACTTGACCTTACATTGATTTTTATCTAACAGTCTCGGGGCAGGCACATCCCCTAGCAACGCGATAAAGCTCCACAAACAAACCACTCCGCCGGCCCAATAACCGATTCTCGGGGGAAATGGAACAGGTGCACAGTAGCTGCTTTATATTCTATAGCTGAAAGTGTAATTAGGCCTTGAACTGTGGGCCACGCACAAAGTTCACAGGTCGTCATAAACCGGTCCCCAGCCTGCACGTCAGCTTGCACCGAATGGAATTGGCTTTCAATTAAAGTTAGATGTACTTGGGTGACGAATACAGTCCAGACCAGTGACTGATTAACTATATATAGAATATAAACAGTTGGGGATACAACAATAGCAATATAATCAATTATGAACAATTTACTTTTCTTTTTGGTAAGCAAACTAAGGGTTTTAGAACTTCCTTCCATGAAATGAATCATTTTAATTAAAGTACTTTAAAAACTAAAGACTCTTGTTAGGTATTATTATACTGAGCCCAGGTGTATGGCATTATCGTGGACCATTTTACTGGGCGTTTTGGCTCGACTTTGAGTGCGTGGTTTTCGTATAATCGTCATGGTTGCCTGGATGCGTCTGCTCCAAAGAGCCAGATCAAAACCCAGTCGATGGGCGCTCGAGTGTGAAATATTCACCATGCCCAACTGTACGCCCATCTCTCTGTTACTTTTTTCTGTTATTTGTTCCTATTTCCCCTCCCGGGATGAGTCATTCCACCCAATTAGAACGAACCCCGTACCAGCTATCGATATGTTCCAATGCTTACATCATGAGCAACAAGCCTTATCTAACTTGGGCGAAAAAGCAGGTCTACTTCTTTGTCATGACGAAAGCGGAGCAATTCGATAATAATGCAGTCCACTTATTCCAGAGCCACGCCTTTGGCGGCCGCCCACTTTTAAGTACAAAGCAAGTGGCTTATCATTTTACCGCCACCCAGTATTTTACGAGAGATATGAGAATACGTGGGTCCGGTTACTATTTGCTTCCAAAAAAAAAAACTACAATTTGCAAGCGAAAAGTGCGTGTGTGTCGTGCCAAACTGTCACAGGGCGACTACAGTTCGCTCTTCTTATCAGTTCTCGGGTCTTATCACTTTGTTTGTATAGCAGTATAGCTCCTCAAATATGTTTCATATATATTAGAGGGTTATAAGTATATATAGCCGTTGCCAGGCGTATTGCATAATTCTGAAAAAAAAAAGCAAACGGCAATAGGAAGCTGGAGATGTGGGCCAGCGAAAGGCCCGAAAGGCACGTTTTCGATGCAACTGAAGCTGCCGCTTTGGCTGCAGCTAAGTTTCAATTGTATCTATTAGATACATTTGGTTGTGGCCTGGCTCTGACTTCTCTCTCTCTCTCTCTCTCTAGCCCGACTCGGGCAAAACTAGTTTTCCTCGCAATTCGGCTTGGCAAATATCTGGGTTAACTTGGGAATTTTCGCGCTGCGCATGCGCAATATTCCAGTGCGATGAGAAAGCGAAAACGCTTTCAGAAAACTTGGTCATTCCAAGCTTGATATCTAGCCCGTGATTTCGCTGCGAAACCACCAAGTATGAGTCGGAGTCGAAGTCGGAAGCCTGGTATCATCCGGGTGACTGCACAGTGCAGTGTGACGGGTGCGATAAAGCCAGATGTTTGCATGACGTTGACTTACCCTTGACCACGGGCTCGGTGACGAGCGTCATCTCCTCCTGGGGGATCATCTCCATTAAACGGGCAATATCCTTGGCTAGCATGTTGTCAACGATGTCCAGCAGATGGGGCTTCAGCGAGTGGAACTTGGTAAAGTCCTGGTGCTGCAGTACCTCCTGCATCTTCTTGATGTCGGGGAAGTCGCCAGGCGAAATGGAGTGCTCCCTCTGGATGCGGTCGTAGATCTGGCCGAGGTTCTTAATGAGGTCCTTCTTTTTGCTGTCCTTGCCGAACACCGACGGCATGTCCTTGCGCAGCTCAGAAATGATGAAAGCGTGCACCTTGGCCAGACGCGCCCGCTTGATCAGATCATTCAGCTTACGGAGAGCTGCATTTCTCGGCAACGATTGCAAATCCCTGAACAGATCCTGCTCCTCGTCCTCGAACAGGCGACGGTTGGCGTCGAAGCGCAGGGGCTGATCCCAGAAAGATCCAATGTAGACACGAGCCACCTCTGGCGTTTGCAGCACCTTGCCCAGGGACCACATAAGGGCTCCATAGACGCGCATCAGCTGCTGGTGGTCGATCATGTCAGCTTTGTTGAGGATGATTCGGATCTTGTCGTCGTGGCCCTTGAGCGCTTCGATGGACCGACGGAACTCGTCCGAAATGTCCAGCTTGTGGGCGTCAAAGAGCAGGATAATACGGTCCACGCGCTCCGCGAACCATTCTAAAACACCTGTAAAGTCGTAGCCACGATCGATGCGCTGTTTCTCGCCGGACAGAATACCGGGCGTGTCCACAATGGAGATGGCGTTGAGCACAGGCGAGGCCACGCTGCTGCACTGGAAGCGATTCAGGAAGGCGTTTCCGTACTTGGAGAGAGGACGGAACTGCTTCTTAGGATCCACGACAAGGGCGTTGCCGGGGATGACGCCCTCCTTATCGTCATACATCACGGCAATGAAGCGATCTGTTGTAGGTTCCGGACCGATCCGAATACCGGGGAAATCACGCTCCAGCAGATACCTAATGAAGGTGGTCTTTCCTGTGGAGTACTGGCCCACCAGCAAGATCATGGGCTTGGCATCGAAGTCAGGGTCCTCCAGCTTCGGGGAGTGGAAGTCATGGAACTGGTAGTGTTCCTCCAGTGGCAAAAGCTTGCTTTTGTAGATCTTTTTCAACTCGCCGATCACATTCTCCACCACCTCTTGGGTGTTCTTCTCGCGCTTCAGGAAGCTGAACATATTGCAAATTCTAATTAGAAAACCAGCGAAATGGAAGTCGGAAACTCGGACTGTCGGGAGTTCTTGGGGGGAGTATGCACTGTGTCCGCGCGGATTTGTCGGCTATATCGGTTATAGCGACTAAAGTAGTTACGGCCGTGGATGCGTGTGTCTACACTCGATATTCTGGCGCTGCGCTGGGACTTGTGTAGTGAATGTGGCGAATGATTCACGGGACGTATTATTTTTGGAAGCAGTGTTGTCAATTTAGCCTTTTTTCTGTTCTTTCAAAACCGGTCTCACAGAAGATTTTCCGAAATATGTTTAAACGGCGAATTTGGTTCGTTTTAAAAGTGCATCCTATTTCTTTATGATAAAGAAATGTTAAAAATGTAAAAGATTTACAATTGAAAAGATGAATACTCTGATATTAATTTTTTTTCTTTAGGTAAAATTTAGTCAAAAAAATCTTTTGGCAACACTGTCTGGAGCATGACTATCGAATTATCGATTGCATACGTGGCGTTTTTGTCTATCGAACTGCTACCGCCCATTTTGCACTACTGCCACACAGTTCATGATGGCGCGCGAATGAGATTTTGAATTATTTTTAGCTTACCTGTCTCCAGCATCTTTTCGCGGCATTTTAGTCATTTAGTAAGCCCTAATTCAATTAAAATCAAATATACGTAAAATTTTTGGGCTTTAGAATTGGAGTCAGCAGAAATTAAGCCAAAGAGCGCTGATCTGGAGTCTTCTGGGCAGCACTATAGCGCAGCTTGCATTATCTACTTGAATTTTTATGTTTAGGTAAATATTGTTACTTTTACCAGTTTGAACTAATAAAAGTTTATGGCTACGTCGACCACATTTGAATGAAGTTTAAAAGGTAAGAAGTATTGTTTAAGTAAGAAAAGGTAAGAAAAATACAACTAGATCCCAAGTTTTTTACAAACCAAATGCTGTTAGTATAATTTTTTACAATAATGAGCAAATTCTTAATTAATGCTTTAAGAGTTCCACATCATCGCTGCTGTGAGGAATGGCAGGGTCTAGGCCAAAGTTCATCTTCATAACATCACAGAAAACAGAGAGAAATATAAAGGCATCCACAAAGTGGTTAATTGTAAAGCCCAAGCTTCGATCCTTGGGATTATGCATGCTGATCAGAGACTGAACGACCAGCAATATTCCAGCTGCCACCTGTTTACAAAAATAAAGAACAAACATATGCTTTAAGGTAGCTACTTTTTTATTCTTTTAAAATCTATAATTGTACATCAAGTCTTAAATTTAGATAATCTTTTGGTGTAAATCGTTGGATTACGTCTAGTTCTAGGGGGTTTTTGCATGCTGATCGATAAGTCTGAGAGGCTGGGACGAGTACTCTATGCCAAAACCGGATATGATAACGTTTACTACGGATATTATGAACACGACTACCAAAATTACATCGTTCAGGATAACGGCCGCGGTCTGATCCTGCTGTTTGTTTATGTTGAGACTACCGATGGCCACAAACAGAATGCCCACCAAAAGCTGTCGAAATGGATGTGGAAAGTGGTTAGATCAATACAATAATTCCACTGAAGCACACTAGTTAACGTTGTTTAGGAGGTCACCCTGCGGCGGGGGCAAGCGACTGTCAAAGGCCGAGATAAATAGATTTATCATCGTTGTGAAAAAGGCGAAACCCGTGCGAACGTGGTTTATTACATTGGCCGATTGGTGAAACTCTGGCTGGTGCAGCCGGCAGTCCCGCAGCAAACTCAGAGACAGACTCAGCACGCCCGACAGAATCTACACAGAGAAGAAACGTAACCAAATTAGATTATTCTTATCGTCTTTACTTGGCGACGTTTTGAATTTCACTTTCCAAAAACTTTCAGTTTGAGGAAGTAAAATTAATGGAAATCTATTTACCATTATTGATATTATTTATTCTCTGTGTAGATCAAACAAGGTCTAGGAAATAAGCTTACCTGCAGCACTATGGACAGACTAATCAGGATCAGCATTAACTTGTAGAACTGATGTTGTTCGCCAACTTGGAGGATATATTTCAATTGAGAAGCGTTCGCCGTCAGAAGAGCTATGTCCAGCATTCCCTGGGCGATAGTCTTTTTCGTAGCATATCGATTCGCATCCATGGCTTTCATCTGAAATAAAAATAAACTTTATTTTAACTTTAAAAAAATGAACAATTTTTAATTACATTATTGAGAAAAGAAGCCATTGTGCCTGCGCAAAAGTACAATTCGAACTGACTGATTTTGAAGATTCAATTTTAGAGTTCTTTGTTATCTTTGCCGCTCATATTAGGTATTGTTTTGATAAGAAAACAGAACTTTACGATTCAAACTAATGAAACAACAAACATATGTACATCGGGGGCAAGGATGATAGTGTTTTATTCATGTAGAAGCATTCAAAAAATATGACATAAATATAAATAAATAAAGTACAAAAAAGGAGTCTTTAAAGAAGTGACGTACCTGCCAGGCTTTCTTTTTGGGTTTCTGTAAAACAAACAAAGGAATTAACTAAGCTAGAAATCCTTCTATTAGCTAGCACAGGGTGTGTCTAATGAGGACATGAAAACTAAAAAATCGATATGAGAACAAACGGTGGGAATTAAAGCTATTTTTCGCACAGCTCATCGGAGTTTAAGGTGCATGAGGCAAACAAGTGGCTCCCCATATGTACTATATTATTTTAAATTGCACGAACAGTCGTGGACAAAGACAACAACAACAACAATGACAATTACACGGACCGACAATTACGGGTTGGCTACAAATGGGGATACTGGGCAGTATCTGACTCACGAATAAATAAATAATTTATAAACAGGAATTCACATTGAAGATCAAGGCCAAGGTATGTGAGTGAGAAATGTGCAGATGTGACGACACTTGTAGTCGAAATATTTTTTGACTTACCTCAGATTCGTTGATCCGCTCATCCACTGTGGCCACCTGAGCCATGATGAATGAATCTTGGATTGTTTATTGCCAATTTGAGTTTTATTTTCGGTCACACCCCAGTGCACTTTGGCTCGGTTCGAGATTGAAACAAAAGAACTCAAAAATGTTCAATTCGACTTGTTTTGTTTTTCATTGTCTCCACGAATTGGAAACGAAAATGTTGTTGCTTTTGATGGCCGTTGTCGTGGAGACACATCCAAACGATTAAACAACCAACACTGGAATGAAATTGTGTTTAGCCAAGAGAGCTCCAAGCCCCCATATGAGACCTGAAAAGCGCGCGATATAAGCCAAAACGATTCCATGAGTAATCGCAGCAGTTCAGTGCTTTGAAATGGATTTATTGATTTTGTTATTAAGCTTCAGCATATGTATCAGCGCGATCTTTCCCAAGACAATAAGTGAAAGTAGCCAATTTTTCCCATTGAGAAATTGGAGAAACCTAAAAGCGTAAACAACCTAAAGAACACTCGACCCATTTTTTCCAAAATTTAAGTGATGATTTATTTTGTAATGAATCTTTGCCGTTCTGTGGCCATCGGAAGGAGCAAACGTGGGGACATTAAGAAAACCCATAATAGTGATTATTTATAATCACTCATAATAGTGAGAAAGGGAGTGATTATTTTTCTTCCATCCAGAAAAATAGTCAAAAAATGTATTCCAAAATAGGTTTTAGGGTTTTGATGCAGATTAACAGAGAATCTATCCACGATTCTCTTAACGTATTCCGCTTCAGGATCGGACCAAAATTGGCAAAGATATGGATATCGTGGTGTACCATATAGGCTGCTCCCGTCATTTGAAAAAGATTCGAAAAAGAGGATCCATCAGAAAAATTGTCTAAAAATTTATTCAAAAATAGGTTTAAGGTTTTGATGCAGGTTAACGGAGAATCTATCCACGATTCTTTTAAAGTATTCCGTTTCAGGATCGGACCAAAATTGGCAAAGATATGGATATCGTGGTGTACCATATAGGCTGCTCCCGTCATTTTCCCCATTCGAAAAAGAGGATCCATCAGAAAAATTGTCTAAAAATTTATTCAAAAATAGGTTTTAAGGTTTTGATGCAGATTAACAGAGAATCTATCCACGATTCTTTTAAAGTATTCCGTTTTAGGATCGGACCAAAATTGGCAAAGATATGGATATCGTGGTGTACCATATAGGCTGCTCCCGTCATTTTCCCCATTCGAAAAAGAGGATCCATCAGAAAAATTGTCTAAAAATTTATTCAAAAATAGGTTTAAGGTTTTGATGCAGGTTAACGAAGAATCTATCCACGATTCTTTTAAAGTATTCCGCTTTAGGATCGGACCAAAATTGGCAAAGATATGGATATCGTGATGTACCATATAGGCTGCTCCCATCATTTTCCCCATTCGAGAAAGGGGTTCCATCAGAAAAAAAGTCAAAAAATTGATTTAAAATAGGTTTTAAGCAATGTTTGATTGAGGAAAGTTTTTCCTGGGTTTGCTGTTTACAAAATGGTACTTTATTTCCTGATCGGCTACAAATTGGGAGAGCTATGGCCATCGGTAGGAGCAAAAGTGGGGAAAACAAGAAAACATATCATTTTATGGTGGTACCCCTAGGGAAAATTTCGAAGAATTTAAAAACGATATTTAAGCAATGTTTTGAATGAGGAATGCCGCTCCTGGGTTCGGTGATTACAAAATGGTAATTAATTTATGATAACCTCCACAAGAGTATTTAAATTTATATGAATGTAGATCGAGGTCGACTTTGAAATTATTTTTAAGTATAATACCAAACTCCCACATCAATCATTCATTTTTTATTTGATTTCAGTTAAATACTACCAGTTTTCATTATTTATTTTCCAAGTCGTATCCACACAACTACAAATTTAAACGTATAATTTAGAGACATCAAAAGAAAAAGTCATGGAGTTACCAATACCGGAAGCACAGTATTGGGATGTTACAAAGAGTGCCCAAAAGGAGAGGGAAATTGTACGGGATTTCGTACCCAAAGGAGTACCCCTAAACATTGTCAATTATGCCGAGGTCTTCGACTCCGATACGTTCTTTTTGGAGTGCCAGAAGTACAGGGACTATTACCGCGATCCTTATTCCAAGGTACAGCGTCCGAAAAGTTTTGAACTTTACAAGGGAAAGTGTGGGACTAAGTTGGATCGAAGACTGGCGGTGATGTTGCAATCTGTGGCAGCCAACGAGGATAGTCTTCCCCTCATATATCCTTTAATTGTCAACAGATCCATGAACATCGGAAAGGGATTTGGAATGACAGCTCAGCACTCACAAATTTCTTCTACAGTTTACAAAAGATGACATAGTATATGCGATGTAATAATAATTTTAGAACTCAGTGGACAACCGGCGAAACAAGCCATTCTATTATTAAAAGTGGTTATAATATTAGCCAATCGACCGATTTTTTTCAATGGGAATTCATTTTTGTATTTAAGAAATTTGAGTACTTTATTTACTAGGCAGGGAAAGCAGTTTCAATAAATAGCATTTTAAATACTTTGCGCCCTTTGATGTATTAAACATACACATACACACCATAGTTTCGAATTTCATGGGTTCTTGATCTTAGCTGACACAAGGATTTGATATATACTTTTTAATAAGCCTTTCACAAATGGCGTTTAAGCAGGTAAACACTCTAAAAAGTCTTTCTGTGCACGGCGCGCTGCCCTTCCTCTTCGAATTCCCGCTTCGATACCCACATCTTCTTGAAGGTATCGAGTGAGGCCAGAATCGAACCGCCCATCCATGTGGAGTAGAGCCGTTCCTGAGGCGCAGCGATCTAAAAAATTCGATACGTAAACCAATATAAATGGTCCAAATAAATTATGTTCTTTGTCAAGCTCACCCTGATCTTGAGATCTTTAGATGAGTGCTTTCTGAGCTCCGACAGCAAACGGTCACCGAATCCCTTGAACAACGTTGAGCCACCAGACAGGACAATGTTCTGATAAAGCATTTTCCTGAGATCCATATCCGACTTCTCGATGGCGTACATTAGAACGTCGTGTATGCCTTCGCACTCTTCGCCTAATAGATCGGGTCGGAAGAGTACCTCTGGCGCTCGGAACCGAGCTGGGCCGATTTCGAAGGTCTTGCCGTCGGGCAGTTTGTATGCAAACTTCTCAGTTTCTACGTTCTCCTCCTTTTGAGGATTGGTGGCCAGATAGCAGACCTTCTCCTTGATGGAGCGTACAATCTCAAATTCAGCTGTCGACCGGAAGTTGAAGCCCTCTCGGCGGATGAGTGTCTTCAGGTAGCGAGTCACATCGCGCCCAGCAATATCCACGCGCATAATACTGTGAGGCATCGCGAAGCCCTCATAGATGGGGACAGCATGCGTCACACCGTCACCGGAGTCCAGTACCACACCGGTTACGCGGCCAGTAGCATAGCTAAATGTTATACGAAATACGATTAGCTGAAAGCGAATAAGATTCTTTGGAATACTTACAGACTAAGTACGGCCTGCATGGAAACAAAGAGCGCAGGTGCATTGATACTTTCAAAGAAGAATTCAGCTGCTTTCTCGCGATTACGACGAGGATTCAGTGGCGCTTCGGTAAGTAGCACGGGGTGATCTTCAGTGAAGGTGGATAGTTGTTCCTAAATGAAAAAAAATGAAGGTCGGCAAATAAAATAAAATTGTTGCAAGTAACGCATACTTTGCTGTAAATGTAACTCCATATCCGCTCCATGTCATTCCAGTCGGTGACAATGCCGTGTTCCATGGGATACCGGATGCTGAGCAGACCACGGTGTTCCTCTGCCTTGGGGCCCACAAATATGTCGCCCTCCAGGGCTCCAGCCATTACCCGAACATGCTTCGGTCTGCCAATGCTACAAAACCATATTAATATCGAAGCTGCCTATGTTGGATTCATAGTACTCACTAATTGGGAAACCTGCATTTTGGAATGTGCTCACCAGCAAAGCCGGCTTTGATCACACCGGAGCCCTAAAAAGAAAGAAATTCATGTCAAAATATTCATAAAATATTTTTGAATTCGCCTTTTAAATTAAACAAGTAACATATAAAATTATAAATTTATTAAATGGAATCTTTTAGAGTGCCGGAGGTAGACATGATGACCGTGTCAAAGAACTCGATGGTCGAAAGAGAGTTCCTGCTGAAGTTCGTGCCTCGGATCGGTTTAACCAACGTAAGCTACGGGGGCTTGTACAAGGTGGACAAGTGGTACCTAGATAGCCAGCAGTATCGGGACATGACCCGCGATCCCTACAACAAGATGCTTCCTCCGAAGAGCTTCACCAGGTACAGGGGAAAGTGTGGTATCAAGATAGACAGGAATCTGATTGAGATGAGTCGTCCTCCTCCTGCGCACGTTGATCAAATTCCTCTGGTATATCCCCAGGAATACGGCCACCCGATGCACCTCAGCGGGGGCTTCCGGTTACAGGGGCGCTTTGCCCGTCAAGGTGCCACTACTTTCAGGAAACGTTAGTCTTCAAAATTTATAATTTTATATTTGGTTCTGAATAAACCCATGTTTGGTCTTGGCGAGCAGAGGTATTAGTCATGGTGGCCAACACGAAATACGGCTTGAAAGTTTTCGACAAAGGGACGGGCTGCAGGTGATGTCACTATGTTTTTGAAAGACGCCCAAAGCTCCAAACTCCACGGGTAAATTATGATTTTACGCAGCTTGGCTGCCCACTTACGTTATCTATGACGACGGGCTGGTTGACGACGACATCATAAGGCTCCATTTTGTGCGTTTATAAAAATTTGCAAATTTTCTAATAGTTGGTCGCAGATAACTCTATCGCTATCGGGCGATAGCGATAACAGCGTTGAGGCGTTTTGCAGCACTGCCAGCTGGTTCTTTCGATTGGCAGGCAAGAGTGTCATCCCTAACTCTTGTTGTTTTCAATTTTTTGTTTGATGAAATGGCTGAAGCTGAAGCTAAAGTGGACAAAAAACCGGAGGTGAAACCGCCGCCCGGCCTAAAGGCCATCATAGACCACTTGTCGCAGGTGTACCCCGAGCAGCCGAATCCGCTGCAGGTCACTACCTTGCTGAAATACTGGCTGGGCGGCCAAGATCCATTGGACTACATCAGCATGTACAACCATCCCGGGGACATGGATAGGAATATTCCGCCCCACTGGCACTACATTAGTTTCGGACTGAGTGACCTACACGGCGACGAAAGGGTCCACCTGCGCGAGGAGCAGGTCACCCGCTCGGGCATGGGATTCGAGCTAACTTTTCGACTCGCCAAGACCAGAGACGAGCTGCACCAGCAGTTGGAAAACCCGGAGAAACCGCAGCGTCCACCAACCTGGCCAGCAAACCTACTGCAATCTATCGGGCGTTACTGTTTCCAAACTGGCAATGGGCTTTGCTTTGGCGACAACATCCCCTGGCGCAGAAGTCTTGATGGTAGTGATACCTCTAAGCTGCAGAGCCTTCTAGTGGCACAGGATCCCCAACTAGGATGTATAGAAACGCCTTTTGGCACTGTGGATTTCTGTCAGATCGTTGGTGTGTTTGAAAACGAATTGGAGCAAGCTTCTCGATGGAACGGGCGTGGCGTTCTAAACTTTCTTCGGCAGGATGTGGAAACTGGAGGCGATTGGCTGGTGACAAATATGGACCGAAAAATGAGCGTCTTTGAACTCTTTCCAGAAACTCTTCTTAACCTGCAGGACGACCTGGAGAAGCAGGGCTCTGATCTGGCTGGTGTCAATGCGGACTTTTCCTTTCGGGAGTTGAAGCCCAAAAAGGATGTGAAGGAGGAGGTTGACTTTCACGCACTGAGCGAGAAATGCGCCAACGAGGAGAATAACCGTCCCTTGAACGAGTCACTTTTCAAGCGCGAGGAGCCGAGTTTCCCCCAATCCATGTCGATGAGCAGTAATTCTCTGCACAAGTCCTGTCCTCTAGATTTTCAGCCTCTAGCTCCCAACTGCATCTCCTTAGATGGCATTGAAATAACCCTGGCGCCTAACGTGGCTAAGTACTTACTTCTGGCCATCAAGGATCGCATCCGGCATGGACGACATTTCACATTTAAGGCCCAACATTTGGCTCTCACGTTTGTAGCGGAATCGGTCACTGGATCTGCAGTCAGTCGGAATGAGCCCTATGGGGTCCTTGGATATTGGGTTCAGGTACTGATTCCTGAGGACCTGGTTCCACGCATGCTGGAAGACTTCCGAGGTGCAGGCTTGAACGAGACCTGCGAACCAACCCAAAGAATCGAGCTAGAGTGGCCCGACAAGAACCTGAAGCTTATCGTGGACCAGCCGCCACCAGTTCTCCCACCCCCCGTTCTGCCCATGTCACTGGACGCATCATCACTGAAGATTTCCTAGCTAGTATTAGTATTATTTTAACTTAATCAAACTGAATCTTCCACTAACAAGTAAGTTTTACATGTATCCATTCGACCATCTAACACAATGCACGTGCGGCCTTTGCTCCCAGTCTCCAGGAGTCCAGCCAAATATATATATCCATGCAATCCAAAAACACTTCACCTGCTTTTGAACCCAGCCGCATTGGGAGAGGAAGCGCCGGCACCATTGGCAAAAGTGAACAATGCACTATGGTTTTTTTTTCGTTTTTCTTGGCATAAACTCTAATTTTAATCCTATTGAATTGAAATTTGGTTTGTATACATTTTTGAAGCTCCTAAGATTACATACCAAGTTTCAAATGATTTGGGGCACTATTTCATATAGCTGCCATATAACCGATCTGGCCGATTTGCCCCAACTTTTTTGTTTATCAAGCTATTGCTTTGAAATTTGGTTTGTATACATTTTTGAAGCTCCCAAGATGACTTACCAAGTTTCAAATGATTTGGGGCACTATATCCTATGGCTGCCATATAACTGAATGATCGGAAATGACCCAACTTTCGTGTTTTTAAAGATAGAAAGATGGAACTTAGTACAGATTATATTTTTGGTCAGTTAATCCGACCTACCAAATTTCATAACGATCGGTCGACTATATCTTATAGCTGCCATATAACTGAACGATCTGAAATGGTTTTTTGTAGAAATACCAACTTTGGTTTTTTTTGAAGATAGAAGTTTGTGACTTTTTTTAGATTTTATATTATAATAAATTGAGTTATATTATCATATTCTCATAAGGATCGGTCCACTAAATCCGATTTTTGCGATAAATATCCGGTTTTAACTGAACGACTGAACACATATTGTACTAGAAAATTTTGATTTTTTCGAAAACGTGTGGATTCGGACAAAAAGGGTTAGTTTTTCATTAATCTGCACACTTTGGTTAATAGTTTCTCGTTTAAAACTTTTTGCAACACTTTGCCATGCAAAAGTACTGATCCACAAAACACAACTACACTTGTTTAGCTCGTTCTAAAAATACACATAAACAAAACACGGTACAATTGGACAAAACACATAAGAACGACACAAAAATTGGTAAACTTTAGTTTTACATACCTGGACAATCGTTTTCCATATTTATTCAATTAACTTTTTCTTATACTTTTGCCTCAACAAACGATCAAAGTCGCAAAATTTTTCCTCCAATTTCATAAAAAACTGGTGTTACTTAATCACCTGACTTTAACAGCTGGCCAGCAGAACAGTGTTGCTCCATATGTTAAAGTTGCATATTTTTTTATCTGTCTAGGGTGTTTAAAAATTAAAAATAAAAAAATTTGTAAGATACAAACAAAACAAAAAATCGACTTTATGCCAAAAAAAACGCGAAAAAAACCATAGTGCAATGCCCCGGTTGAGTCAGTTTGGGGTCAGCTTTTTGAGTGCGGCGTCGTCGTCTTTGGTGGCTGCGGCGGATATGACCACTTAACGGCCTGTGGATGTCAACGCCACCACCTAGCCACACATCAATTGATGGCTCTGCGCACTGCGCAGTGTGCAGCGAGATGCTTCAGTTTCTAACTCTGAGAATTGATCAATTAGAAGCGTTTTTAATTTCTGCAAAAATCCCAGCCTTGAGATCATGTGATTTGTCTGAAGCCGGAGGTGGCGGTCATCAAAGATGACCCTGGACCGTTGGAGCGCTGGTGCAGCTGTAAGCGTCCAGTTTGTATTTGTGCCCATCTTCGCCTGGTTGCCTAGGTGAATTTTTGTTTACCGCAGAGAACGCTGAACGCCGACGCTGTGGTCTCTGGTCTCAGTCGCTCCGATTAGCCACCTCAAGTGAGCGGAGTAGAGCCGAGCGAGGCGGAGTAGAGCCGAGCGACAAATTATTAGCGACGACACAAGCGCTCGGTTGTGTTCCCGCTCGCAAGTTCTTGAATTGAACCGGTGACCTTCGATTTCGGCAGTGACCCCCCCGCTTCTGGGGGCGGTTATTCCGGCGTCGTCATCGAGCGGACACGTGCACGGGCTTTGATAGTGCGAAAAAGTTCTGCGATAGCCGCCACAATTCGCTTCATTGTTGGGGGCTAGCGGTAGCTCACATTACATTGAGGTTTTGCCATTGCTGCCCGTCCCCGGGGGGCGGCAAAAAGAAAAACGCTTGCAGAACAGAGCATGGCAATGAACCGTAGAACGTAGATACGTATATCTACAGCCCTCTGCCCCCCAAAATACGCCGTGCATTCGCCAAGGGCGTGCATATCTGAAAAATGCGACAAATTTTAGTTATCGCAGTGTAATGCAATCTGCAATCTGCGCAGCTAAATACTACAAAAAATTATGCTACAACGTTGCTGACCAGATATTGAGTCAGGGAAATGGAATGGGGAGGAATGTATTATATATCCACAAGTATTTGGCTTATGAAACGAATGTCAACGGTTTCTAATTTAAAACTTATTCATTAATTTTCTTTGTTTACTCAGCCCTGTAATGGGATACATGGATCGAGTTGCTATTTCTCCAATTTGTTACCTTGTAGTTATTTAAATAGTTTCAAACCTATAGCCCTAGTTACGGTTGCCATTCCATACGATTTTTGAACCTTCAAGCATAAGTAACATTCTTGATAATCGTTATCTTTAAACTTTTGGAGAATGAATCAATTGTTTTGAATAAAAATTAAATAAAATCAGACTTTTGGAAAGTCGTACTCTCCCTTTATGTACTTCCCTATCTTGGTGCCTCGTATATAGTTGGGTGTAGGGATTACTGGCAATGTAAACTGCATTCCCATTTGGAGGAGGGACAAACAGCGATAAACGTGCCCAAATATTTAGCTAGCCAATTCCGTCAGACCGACAGATAATTCGCCGGGATGGGGAAATTCGGACCATATACTGGTATCGTCTGGGAACATTTGGGTGCATTGTGGCTGACTGATTACGGGAGTGCATCCACTGATCAGGCTCTGTTCGTTTCTGTACATTTCAGCCACCAACAGACATAGACCATGGCCGAGAATGAGCCTCTGAACGAGACACAGAAACATGCCAATGGGCGGATCCTGCCCGCCAATGGACACATATCGCCCGCCACCAACGGTCAGGTGCATGCCAATGGCAAGGTGGCCACTCCGGTTCAGAATGGCAATGGGACACACATCGAGGCGCCCTGCTGTCGGGACATACACGGCAAGGAGCCGCCGGACGGAGG